TCGATGAAAAAATAACTCATTCTCTATTAATATTTTAAATAAATACTATTGTTGAGTCTCTAACATTATTCACACAGAGGATTAGAACTTACAAGTTTTATTAAGTAAACATACATATAAAGGCCTTCATAGGTAAGTAATTATCTGACCAGGTTCTAGTGTCCATAAAAAATATTAAATAATTGAATCATTAATTTTATATTGAAATAAGAATGTTTAAGATTCAATTAAAAAAAAATTAGATAGATTAGTTTCAGCGTTGTTAAGCGACACTTTAAAAGTAGCGCGAACCACCTATGCTATTTTGGGAAAAGGTATAGCACTATCGCTACCACTATTTTATTAAAAAAACAGAACGCTATTAGTTACCTTTTAAAAAAGTAGCTTTCGCTACTTATTACTCTACTTTATACAAAAATATTTTAAAATATATTATCAAATTTATGTCCATATAAATTTGAACATGTAGAAATTGATTTAAAAATGTAAAATAATTTGCACTTCAAAAATAAAATCATCTCCATGTTATCTCCAAATCTAGAGCGGGTATCAGAAGGTATAAATTTTGCCTTATAGAATAATCGTTCAACAATAGCACTTGAGGGCAATGCCTTATTTAATTTTCAAAAATTATCAAAAATGTTCATTTGAGTATTTTAGGCTTAAAAATGCGTTAAGAGTAAACCAATTTATTTAAATTCTCACCGATTAAGTTAATATAAGATAAGAACATAAATTATTTTACCTTCAAGAGTCCCACCTATCTGCTGTTCTGCAGATGTAAGACATCTTATTGATTTCAAATTAAACTCTATATTTTTTGAAAATTATCAAAATTCTTTCCATCACTTCTGCCAGAATAATATATTCGTATTAAGTGATAATGTAGTCAGATTGACAAATTTGGGGTTATCAACCAAGGAAATTGGCTGACTATATAAATTATAAAATTAATTATGATTTTATTCGCTAATTTTTTAGAAACACCTGGTTCTGATGTTCTCTTTGAATTAAATTTAATAAGATAAAGAAAGGAATATATAAAAATTCTTAATACACAAAAAAATATTTTAATAGCGGGAAATCTGATAGGGGCATAATCTGACATAGTCGGAAACAGTGAAAGATGGAAAAAGATTTTTTCCTCTTATAATTACTCAATCAAAAAATCTTGATTTTAAAAGTAGAAATCTCTTGAAACTAGAATAAAATTTTAATTTTTAACGAAATTCTATAAAAATTAAATCTAGACAAAGAAAAAAATACATTTATCCATTTTCCCTAACTATCTATTTTTAACAGTGTGTAAAACTCAAACCATTTTTTATATATGATGTTTAGTTCCAGGATCAGGAAGAACAAATTATAACGGTTTGGGTTTGTCAGATTAAGAAATTAAATTTAAAAGTTAGATTCGTTTAAAATCTGGTTTTTAAAGGTTCAGTAATTATTATTTTTTCAGAGTAAAGTACCCATATATAGCTATATAAATAATTCTAATTTTTATTTATGATGAATATATAAGAATTAAACATAACACAGTTTTGTTGCCATATTTGTCCAATCGTGTTCTCTGTGATGATAAAATATATATTAGGGTTTAGGGTTCTAATATTCTTCTTTCCCAATATGGAAGTGTCGGTATTTTTTATCAATCCATTATCATATATATTAATCGCTCTTTGAATTGTGACATATTTTGATTGTTGTTATTTTCCTTATTGAAATAAGTATTTTTGCTCAGGGAAGGATAAATTACATGTTACATGCCAAATTTGTATTGAATGTTAGGAATATGGATATAGACATGCATATAATACGTCATTTTTTACATTTATTTCCCTTGATTTTATGGAATCAAATTATTAAACGTTATGTTGATAAGGTTTCTTTATCAATCATGCATTAAGAGAGAAGAATATAAATCCCCTTAAATGTTCCCATTTTTAAAACAATTGCTATAATTCTTCTATATAATTGTGTTAAAAAAAGACATCTAAAAATAAGTATGCTAAAGAGATATGAAAACAATTAAATAATAAATATTATGTCATTTTTAAATTACATTGCTTAATATATTTAAAAAAATAATAACATAAATGAACATCTAAAAAGGGTCGGTTTGATCTTTTAAATATTTTTATAAAAGTTTAGGGTGACGTTTATTAATAAAATATTAAATTATATAGGTCAGTTTAGTTTTCTAGGTTCGGTAAATTCGACACTGCTTTTTAAAGAATCAAATAATAAATTTTTATTTCGCAACACTTTGTTTTATTTTTATAATATGTCTCGTGGTAATATCTAATTTATTTTCAATTTCTATTAATCGTCTAATTTAAAATAATACATATTTAAAAAGAAATATTAAAAACTTATGTAATGAGAAAATATATAATTATATTGAGAATTTTATCAAAGTAATTTTATATAAAAAATATTAAAAGAAAAAAAACTTTAAATAAAAGGAACATGTCACCCTAGAGAGGAGTAAATTTATTCCATTTAAATTTTTCCAGAGGTGTAGGAAATCGTTTCCATCCATTCCCTCTTCCCCGCAATTTTTTAAATTAATTCCTCAGCCTCCTACTCCTGATTTTCGGGATACCCAATCCGCCTGATAAACCCATTGGTTACTTATTATTATAAGTTTTAAATCTTTATAATGGAAGAATTTTTTATTGGTCACTTTAGATTCTGTCTAGATTTTTGACTAGTTCAAGTACTAATTGCTAGATAAAAAATATATAAATTTTTAATGTAATTTTTAAATAAAACTCATTTTGACAACAACCTTGTTAATCAAGAATTTTTAGAGATTATTAAAATGAGGATATCGAAACTTAATTTTTAAATCTAAAGGGGAAATCTAAATCAATTCTTTTTCTGTTTTTTTATCCAGAGGACTTAGTTTTCAGTTCTATAATCCTGCAACCATTTTTAAATGATCTTAAAAATGGTATAGCAAATATGCGTGATTTATTTTGCGGCATATTATGAAACTATATTTAAAATAAATTAATGCCTTTTTCGATATTAATTTCCTGGATAAAATAGTTTATTCCAGGATGTTTGGATGAAAGAATTATACAATAATTTCTATAATATCTAGTAGGAATAAAAAAATAAAAATTCCAGAAGTAACATATAAATGTAATTTTAGAATTATTTTCTTAGAAAAAACTAATAAAAATGTATTTCCATAAACCTTCTTATTTTAATATAATTAAATAATGCATTAGTGTAAATCTTTAATAATTTTTCGCAATGCGGTTCTAACAAAAATAACAGTTTTCTGGTTATTTGGTTTTCGGCTCCGATCTTTTGCCTGAATTTAAGTTTTTAGATTAAATATTATTTTTCTTTAAATTTCGGAATCACTATGTATGCCTTAGGTTTTTTTTTAAAATATAAAACTTCAAATTTGGAAAGATTATACTATTATCACCTAGCAGAGTTGAACAATACTCCGAATACCTGTATCTTCGAAACAATTGGTTTGTATCTTGTACTTTGTAACTTGTACTTTGTAACTTGTACTTTGTAACTTGTACTTTGTAACTTGTACTTTGTAACTTGTACTTTGTAACTTGTACTTTATATCTTCTTGATAAAAAATTTAAATTGGTAATATCATAGATACTTTATTTTTAGAAATAAAAACATATACAAAAATATCAACGCGGAATCTTAAAAAAGGTAAGAGATTACTTTTTTGTATTCATCGCATTTCAAATTCAATTCATCTTGAAATTTATGCAAATCTTTCTGTAGATTAAAAATTTTGTCTTTTTTTCTCGTATATCGATTTGAAAGCCTATAATATTTTACCTTTTTTATTTACTTTACAAAAAGATACAAATACTCTTTATTTGCCTAAAAAATCATTATTCACTTTAACATTATTTTTAACTTAGATTCCTGCATTAATTTTGTTCTTTTTTCTTTTCATACCATTATATTTTATACAAATTATGATTTTTCATAATTTGATATCGGCACAATACATAAAAATATTAATATTTGATTAATTTCGATTTGTTGATTATATTTGATTATAAAAATTTATTTTTATAATAATGTCTATATTGGTTTATCCTAATTACATAAAATATTTTTTAATATTTTATAGTCGTCGAAATATCGTGTTTTTAGCGGTTTAGCTTAGGTAACCTTAAAAAATTTCCCTACTCTTTTAGAAAAATTTTGGGATAGTTTTTATAGTTGTTTATTTGGAGTTTATCTTTCAGCTTGTTAAAACACCAGAATATGCCTGGTATTTCCTTAAGTACTCCCGATTGATATATACAAATCTCAATTTTTACTATGAGGAAGGAATAGATGAATTTTTCATCAATAGTATCTTGTATTTGAGATATTCTTAAGACACAAGTATCCGTATATAAGATATTTTATTTATAAAGAATGTGTATCTAAAACCCTTTTTAAGGACCTGTCCAACTCTGACTCTTGGTATGTTATTCTAAATTAAATATTCTGTAAAGTTGATGGAAAGGGATTTATAGAATCTTAAAAAAATAACTCCATTCAATCATTACAAAGATTTCTTATGCCATAAAGATAAACCTTTTATTAGTGAGAGTATTTATTTTTTTACGATAAAAAAAATATGATAATTTTATTGTCCTATTTTTTTATATTAAAATTTACACATCATAGGTGTTTTATATAATATTATCGATTTCGAAAAGGGTTAAGATTGAGGACAACATAATTAAGAATTAAATGGAACGTATTATGTTACTATGTTAAAAAAATTCTTATTTATTATTATATCGAAATTGGGGATATAGTTATTAGCGTATCACCCCCCCCCCTCCCCCCAGGTATCAATTGTGATATATTATTATTGATTTTAAATCGTTTTACATTATATTTTAAAAATTAGAAAAAGTTTGACACATATTTTTCAATTTTATGTTATGTAATTTTTTGTAAAATATATATTATTTCTTTTTTCAAAAAATAATATTTAACAGGGAACTACAGTTACAGATGATAGATTTATATGTGCCAAAGGTATAATATTATATTTAATTTTTAAATATTCTCTTTTTCCTAAAAAAAATACAAATCACATTTTATAATGAATATTTTAAGATCAATAATTTTAGAATTTTTTTTCATTTATAATTATGATTTTAATAGTGGTATGAATTTTTTTTTGTGGGGAGGGGGGGGGGGAGGTGGAATATATGTGTCACTCTTATGCCAATCTAAAATAGATAAGAGGGAGTGGCGCTAGTTTAAAAAAAGATATTATGCAAACCTAAATATTTTGATCATCGAAGGCCCATAGGCACATGATGTGTTATTAAACGGCTCGTTTTGAACCGATTTTTAAACGGCTAATTCAATATTTTGTCCAGAAAAATATTGCATAAGCCTTGAGATTTCGCTAATTGATGTCTAGACCTTTGTGTTATCTATGAGAAAAATCTTCAGGCTTGTGTAATATTATTCTAGTTAAAATATTGAGTTAGCCGCTCGAAATTTAGGCAATATTAGTGGTTAAAATATTGAGTTAACCGTTTTTCAAAATCAGCTCAAATTGAGCGATTTTGTATAACGACATCTGACTACTTTTAATAACACTCTACGATTTATTTAATTTAAGTTTAGCTAGTTATCAATAAGCTCCCCACCCCCTCCTTCGTTGGATCATCCTAATAACATTTAAAAATGCGTTATATAATTTCTATAATCATCTTGATGAACATATCTCATAAGTTTTTAAATAACCATTAAATTTGATACTGAATATTTAAAGTAATATATTCAGTTAGCAGAGTCTTTTTTATCTTTGACACCATGTCAGCTTCTCACTCCCTCAAAAAAGAAGAAAATAATAAACAAGAATCAAATATCAATTAATCTTTGTTTCAATAAATTATGTCATATTAATATATAAAAAATAACACTTATATTGACAATCTTTATTATCTCATTTCTAATATCATTCTAGAGGGCCTGAAACTCCCTCTAGAACCAAAACTCTCCTTCATTCTTTTCTGCCTTACATCAAAAATAAGTGATAAAAGCATATTACTATTCATTCGGTAAGGTTGCTTTATTTGTTAGAAATAAGATTATTTTGAAAATATCTAAGCTCAATCCGTATTTTTTAAGAAGTCTAAGATAAATTCTGGGCTCAGGCATAAGCACAGTTTAACTTTCAGTTTATTGAAGCTCTAAATAAGCTTTATCTTTATGGTTTCTAACTTTGGTTAATATATAAAGATTTACTACATTTTTGTTTAAGTTTTTCTTATCGCATTTTCCCAAGTGTTTTCTGTTATCGTTCATTCTACTCATATATTCAAAACAGAGTCCTATAAACAAATGTTTCGAAGACCCCCCCCCCCTGACAGATGAATAAATATGAAACTTTCAATTATAAAATGGATACTCACTATTTATGTTGACTACCTTAAAATTTTTATTACGTGATTATCTTACCCTGTTTTAGAGAGTTGGACTGAAATATATCTCTGAGACCATATAATCGCTTACTTACTTTTTCTATAAACTTTTTCTAACTTTTCAACTTTTTTTTCTGACCTTTAGCCTAACTCTCCTTTATCAGTATTAAAGTCAGATAGGATAAATATATTAATTATTTCACGAATGTAATCCAAAACTAATAAATATTATATATATAACTTAATGCACTTCCTTGCATGAGACCAGTTTTGTGCTATTAACCAATTAGCCCCTCTGTAATAAAGCATTATATTTATAATCATTTTAATTTATATCCTTCTCATTAGCATTTTATCTCAGTAAATTAATCACCAAGCCACGGTTAACATTGTCTCATACCTTTGATAAATATAAAATAATGCCTCAATTATATTCAATCTTTGTTCTGCCAATCTTGGAATCGGAATAGAAAAAATACAATTGATGTTTCTTCTATTTTTTCTAAACTCCTGCTGCACCCTTAAACTAAGATTTATTTATGGATAGATGAATCCTATCTAAAATTATCCTTACATTATAATATTGTTTGATATCTCTCTTCCCTCTCTAGATAAGCATTAGACTTTTTTCCATCTAGGTATCATTATAAACCTTATAGATGCAGTTAATATCAAAATTCAAAATCTATTTTGTAGCTACGATTATGTAGTTTATAGCTTATTAATTTATATTTCATCTATTGCCACGGTCATTTAACTCTAGGTGTAAACGATGCAACTCTGCTGCCATTCAAATTTTAGGTGGTTTACCCACTCACAATTTTATAATTGAATCCTTTTATAGTCATAAGAGGGGCTCAGTATCATTGATGGCTTTGGCTTCCACTGCTTTCCCCATCTATTAAATAGTCGGTATTTAATTCTTTTATATTTTAGTCGTAAGAGGTTCTCAAGGCTAAGGGGGATTTAGAGGGTTTTGATGCAATTGTCACAATATATTTATAGTTTTCTAAAATTTTCCAAAGGAATTTTCTAAAAGCTTTGCACTTAATTTAAAATAGGCGATAGTCAATATTTTATATATAAAAACAAATTAATAAAAATTTCTTTTTTTAAAATCTAAATGGCCAAATACTTATTAGTATTGTATTTAAATTACTTTTTTTATAACTTGTTACAATTGTATAATAATAATTTATTATATTACTTGGGATGAATTAGTAAAGGCAAAGATATGGTGATATTTCTTTTCAAAACAATGACAGATACCAAAATTAAGCAAATATCTATATGGGGAGCGATATTTTCGTACTCTTTACTATAAAATCTGTCATACTGTAAGGAGTCTATAATTTGAAAATATTCAACTTATGTTTATTATCAGAGACCTGCAGGCCAGCCCCTCAGGCCAGGCCGTATTTTTTTTTTTTATATATACCCAGGTTGGGCCTGATTTTTAAAAAAATACTCTGACAGGCCCGAGCTGTATATTTTAAAACCAAATATGTTAAATCGCCATTATTAGCTATAAAAATTAAAAATAAAAAAAATATATTTTTAAAAAATCCGGGTGTCGGGCCTGAAAATATAAAACCCAGGCCGGGTTGAAAAAATATCCGCGCTGAAAATTAATAATAAAAAAATTCGGGCCAGGCCGTGTAAATGGTACCTCTGCAGGTCTTTGCTTATTATATAAAGTTAAACATTAAACTTAATTGTTGAGTTTTTCACTTCCCATATAATATGACCTCGTTTAATTTCTTCTCCCTTCTTCTTTTACCTTATTATATTATAAATGATAATGTATTTGTCCCTTATTATGTATAAACTTATAATAATAATATTATTTAAATCTTTTCCTTTAATTAATTATTTCTAAATAAGCCTAGATGCGGGTGATATAATGAGTTACTGAAAAGAAAACACCAAAAATTTTTTTAAATTCAAATTTTATGATAATACCTAGATAGATCATGGGAAACTTGGAGCATGCTGTGAACTTTGTAAAGTATAATAGGGCAAATTATATTGATTTAAAATAAATTTTCTGTGAAATTATTTTTATATAAGGAAATGTTAGTGATGTTTTGTAAAATATAACAATAAGTTTTTAAGAATTGAGAGATATCCTGATGTTTTTAGGCTAGAAAATTTAAATGTAAATTATTAATCAATAAAATGGGTCAAATTAAGGCCTAAGGGTGGTTACTTTTGGGGTCATTTACAAAAAATAATATTTTAATAATTTATATAAAATTTTTAACGCCATAACACGATCTGCTCATATTTTTGGATCGTGCTTGAGGGTGATGACTGCATAGAACAGTTTAATTGAATGTTACTTAAACAAATCTGATGACAAAATCTTTAAGAGCAAAAAAACAATTCACATCAAAAATTATTAAACTAAGTGACCCCATGACTGAAATAGGGGGAGGGGTCAGTCGCTACTGCGTCAGTAAAATCTACTGGGGTATATCCTAAATTTTGACACAATGCATTATTTTCTGGGAGTTAGGGGGTGGGTCCTTAAAGAAAGTTTTCTAATTTTTCCAAATTTATAGTTTTTTTAAAAAAATATAAATTAATTTTAAATAATTGCTTTTTATATTTTTAATATAAAATATGTTCTTCGAATTTTACAAACCAAACATTTTTATATTTAAAATTATGAATATTGAATATTAATAATTTCATACTTTTTAGAAAATTTTGACCCACCCCCTTTTTTTTAGAAAATCTTAGATTCGCTAATTACTGAGGAAATGAAGAAAATTACACATTTCAGCAAGATAAATACCGCTATTTATTATATTAGATATTCTCAGCATCCATTGAGGTATCGAAAGATACGATGACAAACTTAAGAAATAATTATTAAAATTGTTTAAAAAAAATTTATATGGTTCTACTAATAATATATTTAAATAATAAGTTATAGTGTTATGTATGGGTTAAATTTTTTGGTTCAATAATTTATAAATTGATATTGGGTATTTTATTGATAGCTTATTTGATATTTTAATTAATATTTTTAACACAAATAAAGTTGTGTTAATAGTTTTCACATTTAACAAAGAGTTGTAAAATAAAATTAGCTTCTTTTTAACAATAAATATTAAAAACAAATTTTAAAAACATAGTTAAGAATAAGATTATGATTTTTTTCATAACAAGATAAAAATGTATTAAATATAAAAATATATGCTCTATATTTTTTTTTAAATCAAAATTAAGCTAGAAAGGAATAGTCTAAAAAATAATAGTTTAACTTTCACTTCACTTTATAATCTGTTTGACTTTTTTTAAAAAGTATAATATGTACAAAATACTTGAGTTATGTCCACACGATATGAAAATTTACTCATGTTCCATCTAGGTAAAGTGTGTAAAATCTTATAACATAATTTTTTATTTTAAATCTATCAGGGAATTACTGAAAAGGAACCGAATAAGTTTTCCGGTTTATAGCTTTGTCAATACATGAAAATTTATTAGAGGAATTTAAAGTGATTTTTTTTTAAAAAAATCCAAAAATCTGTCTTTCCATATAGGGTTTTTGATCGTTACCAAAATCATTCATGACATTACAATAAGAATATTCATATAATTGTAACATTAATACCGGCGCATCATAACAATTAGAATTAAAGATTTAAAAGAAATGGAAATGTCAAATTTTTAAAAAAATTTGACACTAAATCTAAAATAAAAATTGCACAAAAGAATAGACACATTTTTTTGTATAAAATTGAATTTATATATAAAGAGAAATATTATAATGATACTACCGAAGTATATATATATTATTTTTTTTGAAAATTAAAGATATTTTCAGACTTTCGTAAATCAAAAAAAAGATTATAGACTTTTCTTTTCAGATATCCACGTTAAAGTAAAATTCATATTGAAAACAATTATAAGGAAGGAGGTCCCATCTTTGGTGGTATACTTAAAATAAATGGTTTTAAAAAGATCTTATTTTATTACGCTATGCGCATTTTTTTAAAAGTCTCACTTTCCAGCGCTCGGGCCGGATCACTTGGCCTTCCAGGTTTTTTGATTTTAGGTCCAGCTTAGAATTTTTAGATAACTTTATTCCTTGGTCCAAGTTTTTTAAGATTTGGTCATTTTAAATAAATTTAGGTGTTTTTTATAAATGGTTTCAAAAGGAAGACGGAAAAGCTAATGAATATCAGATCCGTCATGCGAATTTTTATATCTTTTAATTTGTTTTAAAAATTGAGCTGTGAATGTTTTATATTTTCAGGCAAGGTTTGGACTTGATTTGTAAATTCATTTCCGTCTAGATGGATTTTTAAAATCATATCATTTTTATTCCGAGCCTGGCGTGTATGAAACGATTAAATGAATATTTTTTTTCATGGCTGCCTGTATTTTTAAAAATAATCTCCATTTAATTAGTTCAAAATATGTTGAAAACCTTTCATTTATTAGAAATTAGCAAATAATTAAAAAATGATTATTATATTTTATTATTTAGGATGGTACCTTTTCAAAACAAAATGTTACAAATGGCTACAGGTGGCTATGTCACAACATTCTGCTCAATTAACGTGCCAAAGGTTTAAATCCTTTATTTATAAAAATTTAAAAAAATACTTATTATATTAAGCAATTTATTTTCCCATCAATTATATTCGCAATAAAAGCAAAATAAAATTAAGAAGGATGGATAAAAAAAATGTATAATCTGAATTTTTATAAAAAAACTTTCAAATAAAATCTCATGCTAATTAAAAAATTTCTATAAAATCGCAAAAGTGATTAATGATGATTTTAGGGAAAATAAACTGCACAATTGTAGCTCGCTGGGACATAGGCTAAGAAGCTTAACAAAATCAAATGAAAATATAGAAGCCACTTTACTAAAGAAAAATTACACCTCGCCCATTATATCAAACCTATAAATATGGGCAATTTAAGCAATTAAATTGATATTTTTTTATAAAAAAAACTATATATAAAATTAGTTTTGGCGCCCAACTTGTCAAAATCACGGATATTGATGTAAACAATGTCATCGGTCAAAAAGCGCAAGAATATTTTGGGAAAAATAACTCTTTGTGGATGGGTATGTATAATATCCCTAACATACAACCAATATAATATATTATAAAGACTCGATATAATTGTTTATAACAACCATTCTCAAATCCTCATAAATATCTATATCAGAGATCTGCAAAAATACCATTGGAACGGCCCGGCCCGTATTCTTTTTAAATATTAATTTTTATAGCTAATAGTGGTCATTTAAAATATTTTAAAATATACGGCCCGGCCTAAGTATTTTTTTAAAAAATGAAAATAAAGCCCGGTCCGTGACCTCTGGTTTAGGGCCGGGATAGGCCCGCATGTCTATGATATATCATGAGATACACTTTATATTAATTTTCATACTAAAAATAAGTGTTTATCAGGCCTATTAATTTAGGAATACCCTCCTTAACTAAGATAGCTCAGAACTAGGAAATATACTTACTACAAAAAATATACTTACTACAAAAAATATACTTATACTACTTCTATAAAAGGTTAGGGTCAGGATTGAAAGTAACAGGGATGCACTTTAGGGGGTTATGGTAAAATGGGTATTATTGCATTATAAAAATATATAATTACACCATTAAATGGTACAATATTTAAAATTTAAGTTTTTTAACATCTTCCTGGTTATGGCTATTTTTAGGCCAAATCTAATATTTAACATAGAATTTTAGTTTAAATGACTATTACTTTTATACATTAAAAAAAAAAGGTTTAATCGGCTCCTTGGACAATTCAAGTTCGAATTCGTATTTGACCTACCATTTTCGATGGAGTGACGGTGAGCCCAACTCGGAGTATGCCGGATTTTGGGGTATCGGTCAACCAGAGATTAAAAATGGTATTTGCGTGTTTATAAAGAGCGCGAATGGCTACTTGTCGAATATCATTGATTCGTATCATGATTTGCCAGAGGATGATAATTTTGAGTGGTATAACGGACCTTGTGATTCATTGAAACCATTCGTGTGCCAACTTCCAGCGTGCTTGAACGGTAAAATACTAATTCATTTTTTTTGTATTCAAAAATATTATCTCAAAGTTGCTATGCTCAATTTACAGTTTACAATTTAAAATATTTTCAGGACAATACCAATGTGCGAATTCAAAGTGCATAAAAATGGCATGGAAATGCGACAAAGAAGATGACTGTGGAGATAATTCTGACGAATCTGATTGCCCAAGTTTAAAATCATCATTTAACATTCATTTAGGGAAGAATATTTTATAATTAATAAATATATTTTCAAATGACATTAAAATTAACAAGTTAAAAATTTATATTAAAAAAAGTATACTATAATATCATAATCTTTTATTTAAAAAATTGCAGATCAAAACTTTTATCACTTGGAAGGAACTTCTGGACAAATTCAAACGCCTGGATTTCCTGCAAAATATCCTCCGAACATGATAAGTAGATGGGTTCTAGAGGCACCTGTGGGAAGCCAAATTGAATTACATGTTATTTGATGATAAATGATTTTTTTACAAATAAAAACATATATCATTATATTAATATTTGTAAACTAACTTAATTAGTTAAATTAAAGTGTTTTATAATATTCACACATATATACTTTTGAATTTAAAAAAAAAGAATATAATTTAATAGCACTATAAAATAGTCGAAATTCACATTTTTAAATAATTAGTTTCACAGCTTTATAATAATTGATTTCACAGTTTTTGAATCAATTTGTTCAGTTTTTAATTGCAGTTACAAATAAAATTATTTTTCAGTTTTTGTTAGATTTTACCGAATGTAGTGGGTTTGATGTCTAATAAAATTAATATTTCTCATCATCTAATATAACTAACCCTTATCTTTGCTGTATATTTCTAAGCTAAGCGCTAACGCTTACAACGAGCTTGATATCAGGTCTTGGCATGAACCGTATATGCTGCTCAGCAGCACTAAGTGTCTAATATTTTACCAAATATAGTGGGTTTGGTAACTAATAAAATTAGTGAAACTGCGAATTTAATTTAAAAATCTGTGAAAATAAATATAAAACTCAGCATAACTGTATAATCATATTTAAAAAACTGTTAATTTCGATTTAAATGCATGTAATTTGTTCCTTAAAACAACATATTCAAATATAGTTCACTAACTTTGAAACGGAGCAAGGTTTTGATATGGTAGATATTCGTGGTGGCGGAAGATCTAAATCAAAGAGTATTTACTTAGCTACTATTTCAGGAAACGGTAAACAACATATTGATACTCGAATGACGAGTGAATTTACCATTTCAAGCAAAAATCTAGAGGATTCATTTTTGACAAATTCTCCCTTAACATTTTTAAGCCCGAATCATTTTATGATTATACAATTTTCTTCGGATGCGAATAATCAATTCAGAGGATTTTCTGCCAAATGGACTGCAAGTAAATTACCATTTTAAAATTGAAAAATAATGTATATATTGTTGTATCCAAATAATAAATTACCAAATTATCAAACATTAAAAATCAAGGAAGTGACTTAAAGAACTGTGGGACAGAATTACGCGTTCAATCTACCATACAACCACTATTTTCTCCGAGCTATCCTAAAAATTTTCCTTCTGGATTGGAGTGCACTTATAAATTGAGAGGTGATCCTGGATCACTTATAACTATCGAGGTGTTTAGCTTATTAATATTATGAAAAGAGTATTAAACATTTAAATTCAGGAAGATAAATAATTAATTCTATGATTAGTTAACCTTAAATTACCAACGTGTATATTAATTTTTTTTGTATTATATATTAAATATAGATAGTCCAATTGAATCTGAACCCAGGAGATTTGCTAATTATTAGGGATAATTCAAATTTAACCGATAATATATTATACGCTTCACCAAATAACAAATATTTAAATACCGACAACAAAAACTATAATGCCTTGACTGATTCGAAACCTATACTTCTCACTTCTATCAGCGATTCTATTAAAATATATTTCTTTAGTGACTTATTTTCACCATCAAACGATATTTCACATGGATATTCACATATTTCAACCAGAAGTTTTTCTATAAACTATAAATTAGGTATGAAACTATTTAAGAATACTTCCTTTTTTGTTTAAAAAAATACAAAATTAAATTATTCGATTAAATGATCAATCATCATAAACACAGGATGCTCTCACACGTTGATTTCAAAATATGGTTTTCTAAGTTCCCCTGGTTATGGAATTTCTAATTATCCTACAAATATTAGTTGCCGATGGGAAATTGTATCAACCGCAGATTATCCAATCACTTTAATTTTGCACAATGCCAACATAAATCGTGATGGAGACTATTTAGAAGTAAATTTAAAATAAATATTTGGTCTGTCAAATTATAAATGACATTATATTTTTTTATTTCATTAAAAATAATACTAATATACATGATCAGCGTTGAGCTGAAACCGACTTACAGCCTTTCAACCTAGCCAGTTTTTTTTGAATTTAATTAGCTGGCCGGCTGCTAAAATTTTTGTGATCTAAGAGCCTGTTATTAAAATATGGAAAAACATCCATCATAATGTTCATTTTTTAAATTTTTTTTTGAAAAACTGTTATAAGAATATTATATTTAACAAAACAATAATGGTATCTATTTGCATAATTATCTTTTTATATATTTGGATTCTGTTGAGATTCTGACAGAAAACATGTTATATTTTATATATCAATCATTGTTTGAAGCAATGGCATATAATATCACCTAGACAAATGATCCATTTAAATGCTTATCAATATAAATCAGCTTGTGACACACGCCATTTTGGTTTCCCAATTTTATGTAAACCTTTTTGAAAAAAATCATAGAATAAACGAAATATTTTGTGCTTGGGATTTTTTCTCTATAAACTCTAAAAGGAATTTGGGTGGACTAGCAAGAACCAGGTCTCTTAGATCTAAAAAATCTGTCACCGGGTTACGGGCTAGTTTGGGACGAAAAATTGCTATTTTCTTGGTCTCTAAAATGCATTAATGAATCAAATGTCAATCTAGTTAAAGTATTATACGTCATTGGTTTCAGTTGGTTTTGGATGGTTGATTAGGTGAAATTAAATATATATCACAAGTCAAATAAAAAATCAGCTTGAGTTATATTCATATGCAAATGATTTAGTAATAGAGATGGTAAAAATTGGGGAAGTACTAGTGGAAAACATTTCGTTTGGCATAGTTGCTAGGAACTCTTTAGCCCTCTAAAATTGCTCTACTCCCAAATATCATTTTAGCAAACGATTATCCACTAACTGGTGATTTAGGTTTGATAGATATATTAGAAGAAATTCACTCTTTTGTTAAAGGTATTTCGGTCTTGGAAGATTAAATTGGAAGTTTGATCGAGGCAATTGAAAATTGGGATCTGATTATTTACGAGAAAGGGTTTCAATTAAAATCGAAAGGGAAGCATATAAATATATATTTCATTTCAATCAAAAAAAACATTTTTCCCTTTACCGCTATTCAATTTATTTGAAAAGATGAATGAATATAGAAATTCTAGACTTATGACCACAATCATTTTAAATTTGGTTAAGGAAAATATAAATCAAAATTATATCTATTTAATTAGTTTCTTTAAGTTATTAGAAAATATATGGCCTCTTTAAAATCTAATCTGCTCATGACAGGAAGGAAAGCAAAAGGTACATTTATCATATTATAAAATTTAATATAAATCCAAAAGACTTCCAAGATTTTATGAATATAATTTTATCGAATCTAGCAACTGTTCAAACACTAAAAGAACAAAGTAAATTAACTACAATCGGTATACGTTAACGCAAAAACATAATTCATGATGAAAGATGTCATAAGAAATAATTATGTTAATTATGTTAGATTAACATGTACCTAACCCTTTTTAAAATTTATATAAAAATTTATCAAGCCGGTTTGATAATTTGACAACGATATTTAATTTAATTAACACGTATTTTTATCATAAAAATAGACATTCTTAGATTATAAATTAAGTTCGCAAAAGCAGAAAATCTAATAAGCAAATTTTTATAAATCTAATTTTAAAAGCAAGTATAATTAATCGATTTATACTAACATTATGCTAACGAAATGCAATCCTTATATTATATAAATAAGTAAAAATCATTTTCTTTTGTCATAAAGTTGTTAACTATATATTATAATGAGAAAATAAAATTAATTAATAATGAACCGCACAGATTAGCAATGAACTTGATAAAGAAATGACTCAGCATTCTCTATTTGATGACAATGTCCAAGATTCGATTCGAATTACAAAAGAAATTTTGTCCCCTAAACGATATAGGACACGAAGTGGAAAATTTATAGTCAAGTTTTTTAGTAACGAATTTGGAACAGACAGAGGGTGGAATATAACATTTTCGATAGGTATTAAAGGAAATTATATAAAGCATTAACATAATATGCATTTTTTAAAAATCTGTAATGGTAGATTGTCCTCGATTAGTTATCCCCAAACACGTTCAAGTAATTGAAGAATCGTTGGGTAACGCCTACGATGCCTATAAAAAATTAAAATGCCAGCCTAATTATGATTTTTTGACCCCCGCTCAAGTTCCTATATTAATTAAATGTTTGAAAGGTGGAAAATGGAGTTTGCCTCATATTCCGTCTTGTGGCCGTAAAATAATTTTAGATATATATTATTTTTTAAAAAAAATAAGAAATTTGTCAAATATTTATAACCAATTATTTTTCATTTCATAAATTTTACAAAACACGTATATTATAGCTAAATACTGCGGTCCTGTGCCACTAATTGATAATGGATACGTAGTACAAGCCGACAAGGTGACTTATGGTGGTATAGCTATATATGAATGTTACTCTGGTTTTCATTTTCCTAACAAAGTTCCTCGACAAATAATAACTTGCTTAGATGCTGGGTGGAGCGAGTTACCAAATTGTTCATGTAAATTTTTAATAAATATTATTTTAAAATGGTTTAAATATATTATATAATTCCTAATACTATCATAAGAAAATAAAATAATTTATAATCAAATTATGTTAATCTAAAAAAAGCTACCACCTGTTCAGCCTTTTCGAAACTACTTAACGGGGATATAAATATAGTTCTTGGGGATGGTACTACTTATGGAACATTATTAAGCTTTAATTGCAATCCCGGTTATAAACTTCTAGGACCTCCTGTTACCCTTTGTTCCTCTAATGGTACCTGGTCTGATTCTCCACCTATTTGTGAAGGTATAAATTGTTAAGTCAATTATATTATTTCTATTAATTAATATAGCTGTAAAGTGTTCTCAATTACCCGATATTACCAATGGATATTATACAAGATCAAATCCTAAATGGGTAGAGTTTAACAAAACATTGGATATTACATGCCACAAAGGGTACATTGTAAAAAATGATATAAAAACAATCAAATGTCTATCAAACGGCTTACTATCCGAAATCCCAATGTGCATGGGTTTGTTTTATAATTTGTATTAATTTAGATATTATTTTTTTAGACATTGATGAGTGTTCAAACCCGATAACTAAAGATACATGTTCCATTGGATCACAGTGTTCAAACAAAAATGGAGGTTTTATATGCGAATGCCTTTCTGGGTACAAACACAATTTGGGTTCATAATAAATTACAGATTTATAATGAATATACTTTTAGATTGTTCGAGCAATCTTTATCCACTAGGTTTTGAAAATGGTAAAATTGAGGATTTTCAAATTATTTCTTCTAATGAAAACATTAATAAATCTTCAATACGTTTCAATTCTGCTGTTGGTTGGTGTGGAACATCTAATAAATCCTTAGAAAACTGGATTAAGGTAATAAATTTGATATAATTTATTTTCTAATTTATATTTATAGATAGATATGGTGGTTCCAACGATTATTAATAAACTTAATCTTCAAAATGGACCAAGACAAGATGGAACCAAGGGTTTTAGCAAATATTTAAGAATCAAATATTCTATCAATAAAGATGAGGATCCTTTGGACTTACTAAACGAGGAAGGCGAAGTTTACCTATAATATATTATTTTGCAGAGTTGTTAAAAGATACTTTTAAATGGATCTAGATACAGAGACAGATACATCGTCTAAAAATTTATCTAGATACAGATACAGCTTCTAAAAAGTTATCTAGATACAGATACAATTTAAAATGTATCTAGATAGAGATACATTTTTTATTATACTCTTAGATAAGGTTTGAATAAACCTAAATTAGGATTCTATTGTGAAAATTAATGAAATGATCTAAAAAATTTATTGACTCGATATCACATTTATCAAAATATAAGTAAAATAATGATTTTTAGATATTAATATAATATATGATTAATATAAATAATTATTATATATCATTAATAAAATAATATAAAATATGATTAAATGATTATAATTTATAAATAATTATTAGATTTCAGTTATAAAATATTTTCAAAATTTTGGTCATTAATACATCCTCGTTTATCTGCAAAGACATTTTTAGCTATACTAAAAAGTTTTTCAACAGGGGCGCTGGAAGGGATTGTGGTGTTATATTTAATGAATAACATTTTTATAACAGGATATTGTTTAAAAACACTAAAATCTATCTCGGCATTCATTTTTGAAAAAATATTTAAAATTTGTTGATTATCAGAATTTAAATCATTAACAATCATATCTCCTGCTGTGGGATACTGAAAAAAATCGGATATTAAATTATTGGTTTTCTTACACAAGTTTATGATTCTGATATTACAAAATCCTGAGCAGTAGTATAAAGATCTGATATTGATATTGGTGCAACTGTTTCTTCATCTTCCAGATCATCTATGGATTCACTAATATTTTCAATTGGCTTGAAAACTCTATTATAAATAAGTAATATTATGTTTATATTTATAATAAAATAAACCTAAAAGACTTAATAAAGTTTTTGGCATTATTAGTAATGCTCTTTGAGATTTTATTTTGTATGCAATAATCCTTTGCTATATCTTGTAAATTTTTTGCTATTTTATCATATGTATGACTACCAGTCATTCTTCTACAAGCCAACGCTACATTTTTTCTTTCCAAACTTGTTGGATCTATATAGTGTGCAGTGACTCCTATGTATGAACTAAAAATTAACATTTCTTAAAACTGCTCAAATAATTTGTTTGTAATTAAATTATTATACAAATTTAAATATTAGCTATACCGGCGATAGGCATTCCAACAATCTGCTGTTGTACATATTAACGATGGTTCTATTAGACTTTTAATGATTTCTTTTTTTTCATTCTCCCATCTTTGGGAGATTCTAGCAACCACTGTCTGTCGGCAAATTATATTTTTTTGTAGAGCTAATGTTTTGATCATTTTTATAAATGAAGGATTTTCAACAATTGAAAATGGCTGAATGCTATCTATAATAAAATCAGTTATTAAATCATCTAAAGTGGTTTGGGTTAAAGTCTGAGGTCTCTTGAAAAAAAATCAATGGACGATGAGTCTAGTCCAATATTTTCTTTAATAAATTTTTTCTCCTTCCCCTTTTTTATTTGGATTAAGAGTATTTGAAGTTTTCTCTTAAAATTTAAAATTGTAAACATTTATTTAGTATCTATACCCTTAAATGTTTTACAATGTTGCAAGTTGAGGTAATGCTAACTGAAATTTTCATATTTTTTGGACATGGCAAACATTTTACTAACAGAGATTTGTTTTCTTTATTTTGAGATATTATTTTAAAATATGGTCTATAAATTGGCCATGGAAGAATGTTGTCATTTTCGTCCTAATATTAATCTTACAAATTAATATAATAAAATAAAATACCAATTCCATTGCAATTAAAAATAGCAAATTCCTTGAGATGGATTGTAATATCATAATTTGCTTGTTATTGATAACTCGGACATAATATTTAATTAATATTTATATATTCCTTTTTATATATAAATTTTAATAATTTACATATATATATATAATTTTTTAATATATATATTAATATTAAGTTATATGCTCATTTGAAATAAAATAAATTTTACATTCAAGTTTTTTTATTTATAATATAAAAAAGCGTTAAATAGAGTATATCAAAATGTATCTTAAAAAGTATCTAAAAACAGATACAGATACCTCTAAAATAATATCTAGATACAGATACTTTAATCAAAAATCTATCTAGATACAGATACCACATTTTTATATCTAGATACTTTAACAACTCAGTTATTTTGTTATCTTCGCATAAACATTTGTTATAGCCATGGAAAATACGAGGGATTTCAATCATGGATCAATCTCAGGATTCATGGGTCAATTTTCCATATCCAGTCAAAGCTCGTTACTTATACATTTTAATTGAGGATTATGAATATGCTCCATGTCTACGTTTAGAATTGTATGGGTGTCAAATAACATCCTGCATAGGTAATAATATAAAACTTTAACATGCAGTAAATTTAATGAACATATATGGTGTTGGTCTTTGTAATATATATATTTTATTAAAATAATAAATTAAAATCAAGATATTGATGAATGTACGGAAGATCCTGAATTATGTAATCCTATTTGCAGAAATCTACCCGGAAGCTACAAATGCGGTTGTCTGCCAGGGTACGTTCTATTTTCGTCAAATGGCACAATGAGAAACTATTTGGCTAAAGGAGAAAGTGGATTGGATAAACATGATACCATGCGCATAAATCATACATGTCTAAGTAAATCCGTTACCTACGCCTTATTTTAAGGGAAAAAAAATTATATTAAAAAAAAATTATAAAGATAATAAAGAAAAAATTTGTTTATTATTATATTCGAACTGATTATGGTTAAACTCAAGGAAATTGCCGTTACAACAGCTGATTTGTTTAAATTTCTATTCATCTATTTATAATAACATGGCCTGTCAGAATTGAAAAGTTATTTATAAAAAAAATTCAAATTTTATTAAAAACCATTTTTAATATATCTTAACCAAAGCCAATATCAATCCTATTCCTTACTTCAAACACTTGTTAAATTTTAAATATATTTTATCGAATTCAAAAATCCCCTTCAGCTGAATATTTCTTGAGTTAAGCTATTATCATTCGAACTACTGATTTAAATATTAACTATAGGAGTACTATGCCCTACTGTAAATAGTCCTGAAAACGGTATGATAATAACGAATGTTACCAACGACCTTTATTATTATACGGAGTCAATCGAGTTTCAATGCAATTTAGGTTTCAAACTTGTTGGAGAGAGATTTATTAAATGCATGATGAATGGTGAATGGGATCATTCTGTACCAGTTTGTGAAGGTAGCATTGAAAGATTTATTGTAATATTATAATTTTTAAGCCAACAGTAAACAATAAAAATTTCTTTACAATTTCATTAATAGCCGTAAAATGCAAAGGTTTGAAAGCGGATATCTTATTTGATGGAATTATTGTTATGCCTGATTCTATCGATATTGATTACGGGCAAAATGTGTCAATAAAATGCATTTCCCAAAATGATTTTGATGATGTTAACTCCATAGAATCGATTAGAACAAATAGAAAAAGTTTAGGAACTGCATTTAGCCATTTTCGACAATGCGTTTTTGATCCCATAATGTCATCTATCTCACAAATTGGTTCATATAAAACATCTTCTTCAAATTTCAGTTTCAAACCTGGCTTACTCTCTAATGCCATCAACGATGATAATATAAATTTTAAAAGTATTTATTGGCTTTCAGGAAGTGCTCCAAAATGCCCACGTAATTCTATTCAAAAAAATTTATTTTTAATTTTTAAATAATTTATTTAATTTAAACTATACAATCTGATTTTTAAATTTTTTCTAAAGTGGTTGATTGTGGACGCCCTTATTCAATAGCTGGGGCAGAATATGTATTTGGTGAATCATTTACAACACTCGTAGGATCGAACTTTAAACTTGTTTGCAAACCACCTTATCAAGTTGCTGGTAGTGGTAAGTTAGGAACAAATCAAGTATATTGCGATGATAATGGTTCTTGGAATTTTGGATCTCTACTATGCATTGGTGAGTCATAAGCGCATTTGTGTAAATTTAATGATAAATTATATACTAATTATTCAATTCCCATATTCATTATCATAACTTAAATATATAATTAGGGCCAGTATGTAGGGATCCTGGTACCCCTGCAGGTTCCTTTCAAATAGCTCGTTCATACGAAGAAGGACGCACTGTCAATTACACATGCAATCGCAAAGGATTTATTCCTGAATTTAATTTGCAATCGCTTAAATGCTCAATTAACAATGTGTGTCCTTACATGACTGATCTGGGATTGACGTCAAATGTAATACCCGATTCAGCTATATTAGTATCATCTTCTCTTCCGGGCTATTCCTCTAACGTATTTATTATAATTGTAATATTTTTCCCTTTAAATTTTTTAGTATATAAGATTTAATTCTCCAAAAGCATGGTGTGGAAATGATTATTCACCTTCCATCAGAATAGATCTTGTTGATTCGCATGAAGAACCTGTTATAATTACTGCAATTCGAGCAAAGGGATATATTGATAGTAGTGTTATGGGACAAATATCGAGTTTTAGACTTAATTATTCAATTAATTTAGGAATGTATTCATTAAATCGCAGTTTACCGGAAAGTGAAGGAGCTGGTAGCTCACAAATTTATAAATCCTACCCTGAAACATTTTCCTTGCTTGAAAATCCCATCGCCCTGCCCCAAACTTTTATATTAGCAAAGGCTATTATGGCTAGATCTATAGTGATAGAAACTCTAGATTTTAGAGAATTACCTTGTTTAAAATTAGAGATATTAGGTTGTTACGAAAGAGATATAAATATACCGATATCGAATGGAAATACAATAGTAGGTTGGAATAAACCGGCACCTCTATGCTTTGGTAAGATATAATGAATTTGCTTCACTTATTTTATTTTTTAGATATTGAACCACCTACCTTCATTAATTGCCCAAAAAATCCAATTTATGTACCGGATTTAAGAGCTGGTTCTAAAATGCGTAAAATAAACTTCTCTAAACCTAGAGCTATTGATAATTTTGGAATAGTTGGATATTTGGAATCCCCTCCATTTATTGAATCTCCATTTTTCATGAATCAGCCTAAAATGGATATTACGTATACAGCTTTTGATCCCACCGGAAATCAAGCAACATGCATAGTTCACTTTATAATTAAAGGTTTTTTAAAATTAATATCAAGCGATTTAAGTAATAAGGCCATTTTTTAAAAAAATAATAAGATGATGTTCCCCCCACTCTAGTCTGTCCTTTGTCATATACTCGAGAATTTGAAAATGAAATTGACTCATTAAATTTAACTTTCACATCGGACAAATTTGGCGTGGGCGATGAGTATTTACATTTCAATGACTCCAGTGATAACAATAAATTGAAAGTTGTGTTTGATCCCCCATCAGCTGTAATCCCTGCAAAAAGGTTTCAAACTGTTAAAATAACTGCAAGTGATCAATTCAATAACATCGCAACATGCCAATATCACGTTTCAATTCAAGGTTTCACTTATATTATTAATTTGTTGATATCAATCTTCAGTATCGTCCCTGAGGGGGGGGGAGGGGGGGGGAGGCAGGTGCTCGAGCCCCCTGAAAAAGAGCCCACTAAAAATTTGAAAAAGTAGTTAATTTAGGATAATTTTCTAAAAAAAGGTATTTTTAGATAATGTCAGTTAAAAAAGGTAATTTTGGATTTAGCTATAAAAAAAGGTAATTTTGAAAATAATTTTAAAATTTTTTTTGCGTCCCCTGAGATTGTAAAGGCTAGTGACCAACCCGTCAATCTTAGCCATATTTCGACAATTCAATTTATCACTAATGCCCATTACATTATAATCTAGCTCAAAAATGTTCTTTTTGGTCTTTGCCAAATATTGCCAACGGCGAAAAAAAATGCGAATTATTAGGCGCGGAAACAAGATGCGTTTTCAAATGTTTTGATGGGTATAGATTTGCAGATGAAGATATACCTCAAAAAGTTTACCGCTGTAATCTCGCAAATGATTGGATCCCGGGGTTTCATGTTGCTGATTGTGTTAAACCAGGTGTTTATAAAAGGAACACTTTTTTAATTTACTATAATTAATTTTGAGAATCACTTAATAAATCAAAATATAATTTTGAGAATTATTTAACTGGATTTTATTTTAAATCTATGATAGATCATGCTTTAGCAAAATATCACATAGTCATGAATATGATCTACACACCTTTGGATTCCACTCTCACTATAGATAAAGACTGTGTTACCGATTATTCCACCGCCATTCATTCACAATTCGAAAGTGTCGCTACAGATTTAACAGATCTGTGCTCTTTGGGCAGCCTGAAAGTGAAGGCTATATTCTCCAATTTATCATTTGCTATCATCGATTCCACTACAGTAATTATCTTTTAGTTTGCTTGTTATAGTGTCTTAAGTATTGGGGCGATCAAAACGTCCAAACTCATTTAGCTAATTTAATCGTGAAAATTTACTTCGACTATAGATTATGAAATTCATTATTCGAATTTCACTATATAAGAAATTTTTACAATGAAATCCCTCAAATGTGATGGGCCATTTTTTACTCCCTCCTGCACTATTTGGGTATATAAAATAGGTAAATAAGACGAAGCTATAAAATTATTTATAATACAAACCAAATCAGAGGTTGTTTATGATATGCTTAATTTTTGTTGATTTTATATTAAAGAAACGTTTCATATCTATCCGAATATTTATAAAATAATAGATATCGGCAAAATTTGTTATAAACCTTCAAGCGGGTAATGATGTATTCGTTTTATTGAGTCGATGTTCCTCCACTGTTTCTTTATTAACAAATTTGTATCAAGCTCCAGTCTCCAAACTAATGAAAATAACAGACACAATGTTATCTGATAATTGTCCACCTATCGAAATGAAAAAAATGACAGACATTTCACCAAGAGTCCATGATTTGTTGAATTGTCCAAGAGGGAAAATTATAATGTTTCGAGATTCCCTTCCATTCTGCCGTAATTATTATTTTTTATATAATATTTATTTTATTATGCTGTTTTAAGAGAGAATTTGGTGGTGATTAGAGAACAGATTTATCTATATTAAATAATGATACACATTCTATAATTGTCACCAAGTCAGAATTTAAATATATAACATTAACTTTATTAAATCACCTATCAAAATATATATATCTATTATTTAAAAACGTCTTTTCTTCTATATATCTCTATAAATTGAAATAAGTGAATAATCAATCATTTTAAGTTACGTAAAAAGAAAAAAAAATTAACTGTAATTTAAATTAATAAAATAAACTGAATTTAAGTTAAGTGATAAAATAATAAAAATGTCAATTGTAACGGGAATATTAATATAACTAAAATGTTTTAAATCACTCCATAAGGCATAAAACTAAAATTTATAACATATTAATAATCAGATATTCGTATTTGTTAGCCTATCATATATATTTATTTAAAATTACCATCCCTTTCTTAAATTACTATGTATAAAAGAATGAACCTTAGCACAAATTATTAAAACTTTTTTATAACTAAATTTAAATGTAAAATTTTTTGTGTAAATTTTGATATATTTTAAAGTACCATGTTCACCTGGAACCTATGAAATAAACAACAACACGTGCAAACCATGTCCTCTAGGGTATTATCAAGAAACTTTTGCCTCATCGCAATGTATAAAGTGTCCTCTATTAACTTATACACTGCATATTATGACAAAATCAAGACTGGATTGCTTACGTAATTTTTTAAATGGCCTTATTATGACTATTAAATTATAAAAATTAGCTGTATGTGGAAATGGAACTTTTTCCCCTAGTGGTTTAGTACCTTGTCAACACTGTCCTCACAATACATATTCCGGTTTATCGACCTTTAACGGTATCAAAGGGTGCCTTAGTTGCTCAGATGGTCTTTTCACTGAACATCCAGGATCTATATTAGAAAGCGATTGTAAAAGTAAAAAAGTTATATATACATTAGAGATGGGTCCAATACCAATATATTCTTGATTTACAATACCAATTATCTAAATATATTTATTTTAATATATTGTTTAAATAATATAAACCAATACCAGATTTGGGCAGTACCGCGAATACTTGTATATAAGATACAAGATCCTTTTGTATCTTGTACTCAGTATCTTATTGACATTTTTAATAAGATACAGTATCTGTATCTAAGATCCTTTATTTTGAAAAGAATCTTGTATCTTTTTCATTTTCTTTAAAAAGATACAGATACAGATTTTTTTTAATATTCATGTTTAGAACATTTACATATCACACAATGTAACTTTATTTTCTGTGAAATCTTGTATTATTTTTTTTATTTTTTGCTATATTTTAAATATATTGATAACCAAAATTAGTTGGAAATTTTACAGATCACAAAGATAGATATATTAAAAATAACAACACCAAAAATAAGAATAGGATATATTTTATATGAAATATTTTTTAATTTGTAGAATGTTTAACATATATAGTAGTGAAGATGAAATTATAGAGATATGTACTCCTGAATCAATCTTAAAATTCTAGATGGAAAATTTTATAAAGTAATTCATGTGAAAAAGAAGGTACAAGCCGAATGTCAAAATTGCACAAGTAAAAAAGTTATTAAAGGTTGAACAAACTCCTCTACAAACTTTGTTAAACATATTAAAGTATAGTTTACATTTTTATTTTATAATTATTAACATATTACCTATACATAAGTCCCTCTTAGATAATTGTTATTAAAAATTTTTTATAGAAGATGGATGGTTGATTATCAAATTAAAATCATTTTTGGATATATACCGATACCACTTTTTAGAGGTCGATTTGATCCGATATTCCCGATATTAAATTTATATCGGCCGATTACCGATCCGATATCATATATAATTTTGTATTCTGTAAATATACCAATGGTTTTAATTTTTAATATACTTTTTATTAGTATAACATCTATAATTTAACTATACCATAACTTATGTCATTTAAATATATTATAATGATCAGTTATAGTTTATATTCAATTCGATTGCAATTCTAAAAGTATATAAAATATTTTTATTGTTAAATCACTTTTATATAATAAGTAATAACATTAATCTATATACATATTAAGTAATAAACAATTATATTATGAAATTTGAAATAAATATTTAAAATAATATTTAACATTAATATAGCGAAGATTTCTTTTTAAAAATACCAATATTTCAAATTTATCAGAGGTCAGCTTGCGGCGATAGTAACTGTCAATATCACCAGCTTCACTAAAAACAGATTCTGAAGAGATTATTGCACACTTTATAAACAGAATGCGCAAAAAAATAACAATATGAATGTTTATTAATTAATTATTATTATTAAAAAAATATACATAAAAATGGATTCCGATTTTATTTATAAAAATAAATGATTTCAGATATAACTATTTTTTTTAATTTTATAACATTTTAATTTTGTTAAAGAAGCCATTTTTATATCGGATCAAATTTTATAATATTGACCGATAACAGATATTTTAAAAGGGGTAAAATATCGGCCCGATGCGATCCGATAAAAAATATCGACACATCCTTAATATATTTTATATTTAATTATTTTAGAAAGTTCTTATTAGAGGAAATATTTAAGCTACAATTGATATATAATATTAGATAATTTTAAAAGGCTCTTAATAAAATAATTATAATAAGGTAGAATTTAACTTTATTAGTTACTTTTATTTATTTATGATATAAGTAAAATTACATTACAGTATTTATTTACAAAATTTAATCAATTTAAAATGCATTAAAGAAAATTGCTATGAAATTAACAATAAAATAATATAATGTTGTACATTATTTTCATATTTTTTATATTATAATTAATGATTTTGAAAGAAATATATAAATAAAAATTGAAAAGAGATTTAAATGATATTTATATATATATATATATAATATTACAAATGCAAGAATTAATAAGTCAAATTAGAAAATATATCTAATTTAAAAAATACATAAATATCACAAACAAGTAATGATAAATACTTATCAAAGATAATGAATAAAATAAAACTAGTATAATTTTTTTAGAGATGCCATTTAGCCATATACTCCGAATATAATCTATATTTAAAACAACAGAAAATAACCTGCAAATTCTAATTAACCATTTGATTTAATTTTTTTTCTTATTTGCACATTTTCAACTACCATTAAATATACTACTTACCCATCCCTGTTTATACTATTAATGGGCAAAAATTAATATTAAAATCTCTAGTTATTATAAAAAAAATTTTGTGAATACGAATGATTTTATTAAATTTCTTTTTACATAAAACCTAGTCATCAATAAATATTTTATTAATTATTGCAAATATTCATTCTTATATGTGTATGCTATGCTCTTCACAAATAAATAATAAAAACTGTATTTTATAAACTATTCTAATTTAATTGGTAATGATAATTTAAAAGTATCTTGTATTTAAGATACTCTAATTTAGTAAAAGATACAAGTATCTTTTATCTTGTATCTTTTTGATATTTTGAAAAAGATACTAGTATCTGTATCTAAGATTCATTTTTTTATAAAGAATCTGTATCTGTATCTAGATTCTTTTTCCAGAGGACCTGACCAACTCTGACCAATACCAATATTAAAAAGAGATTAATATATATAACTAGCTAATAACCCGTCAAGAATGACGGGGTTAGGGGTAATTAGTTAGTTTGTGTATATGTTACTAAATATGCTTTATATTAAAATTTAGGAGAAAAAGAGGTAAAATTGTTACAATGTAACCCGTATTTGTGATAGGAATCATATTGGGTAAAATTAAAAATAGAGATTTCAAAATTTTTGAATTTTAAATATGGGTTAGACATTGGCCTTAAAATTCTGTTTTGCAGACACAGCTAGACCTGACCAAAAAACACCGCCCCATGCAACTTTCCCAAAATTTTGCCATTTATTTCTATTGTAATTTAATAATAATGTCTTAAATTTAATTTTATATTTAGAATAAAATTTAATTTTATATTTAGAATAAAATTTAATTTTATATTTAGAATAAAATTTAAATTTGTGATAGAAATCATATTGAATAAAATTTAAAATAGAGATGCTTGGAAATTTTTTAAATATAAATATGGGGTAGACATTGGCCTGAAATTTTTTTTTCAAACCTGGCCAATCCATAATAATTTTGTAAATTTTCCCCAAGCCTAGTGTTGTTAAACGGCTCGTTTTGAGCCGATTTTTAAAAACGGCTAACTCAATATTTCATCCAGAAAAATATTACGCAAGCCTGAAGATTTTGCTCATAGAAGGAACAAAGTTCTAGAGATATATAATCGAAATCTCCAGGCTTAGGCAATATTTTTCTGGTTAAAATATTGATATAGCCGTTTTAAAAAATCGGCTCAAAATGAGCCATTTAACAACACTACCCAAGCCTGGAGATAGGTAAATCTCTGAACCAAATTGTTGGGAAAATCTTCTCAAGCCCGCCAAAGACCATAATTTTGTTAGTTGAGAACTGAAATAAAATATATAAAAGTTATAATTCATTTAAAAATAAAATCAGAATATAAAAATTGCATGGGCTTGGGTTTTTTTTATCAGGCCTGGAGATTTCTGCAAAAAAAAATTTTCAGGCCAATATCTAGCCCATATTTAAAATTAAAAAATTTTCAAGCATTTCTATTTTATATTTTACACAATATGATTTCTATCACAAATCTAAATTTTATTCTAAATATAAAATTAAGTTTAAGACATTTTTATATAAATTAAAATAAAAATAAATGACAAAATTTTATGAAAATTGCATGGGACTTGGTTTTTTGATCAGGCCTGGCTATGTCTGCAAAAAAAAAAATTTCAGGAATGTATAACCCATATTTAAAATTCAAAAATTTTAAAGCATCTTTATTTTAAATTTTATCCAATATGATTTCCATCACAAATTTAAATTTTGATATTTTTAATACATGCAAACGGTATACATTGCAACAATTTTACCTCTTTTTCTCCCAAATTTTAATATTTATATAAAATTTATTAATAAAGTATATTTAGTACCATACACACAAACCAAATAATTACACTTCAACCGCGTAAGCTAATATGGTAATAAAAGGCAGAACAGCTATTAATTAATATATATATAATTAATATTTTAAATTTAATTATAAAGTTGGTGCATGCTTAAAACATACGACTTTGAAACGGGAGTTTTGTGTTCCACTCTCGTAAATATCATTACAATATATAGTCTCCTTAAATTTTAAATACATTAGGAAGATACTTGATTATGGAGATTATATATATTAGATTATTTTGTTTTTTCGTGGATCATTATATCGCGATATATTTTTTTACTTTCTTTAAATTACCTAAACTTATTACATCCAATATTTAATGCAAATGCAAACTTTTATATATTCTGATATCAATATTGGTGTATAAATTATCAGAGACCTGTAGGCCCGGCCCTAAACCCGGCCCGGCCCGGGCCGGACCTAAAAAAATTTTTTTAAACATATCCGGGCCGGGCCGAAAAAATTTTTTTTTAATATATCCGGGCCGGGCCTAAGATTGTTAAACCCGGGCCGGGCCTTAATATTTTTTATAAAAATTTTTACATTATGAGTTAATGGTTATAAGATTATATTATATTACAGTTATGATTAAAATAATATATTGGGTGATGGTTAACACTACCTAACACCCACAGATCGATCTAATTATGAATTTCCTCCAAATTTATTCAAAGTATTAATATATTTTTTTATAATTCATATCTAAATTTTTACAACATATTTTACCAAAACAATCAAATAAAGGAATATCTTAAATAAGCCCCAATATTCAAGTATTATTAATATATTTTTTTATAATTCATATCTAAATTTTTAGAATATATTTTACCAAAACAATCAAATAAAGGAATATCACTTCTTGAAGTTTGTAATGCCTTTCAAAGCGAAAAAGGAGAAATAAAATTGATTTTACTTAATATAAAGCATTTTTTAATTGAAAAATTTGTTTTACACAAGTATCATTTTATTTCTCTTTTTCTCTGTCCCAAATTCAAGCAATTACGTATGTAGTCAGAGACAGATCGCAAGATGACGGAAAACTATATAAAAGATTATATTAAATTGCAAGAGGCTCAGGAAGTAAATGAAATACCATCGACCAGTCAAATTACGACTGTTGTTAAACAAACTGAATTTTATGACAAATGGGGCGATGGTAATTCTGGTAATATGTCAATACCCGATGATGAATATTATAATTACATAAATAAAAAAATAGATGAAACATTTAAGGTGGATAATTTGTTAAAGTGGTGGGCGGCTCATCAAAGCGAATTTCCAATTTTAGAAAAATTGGCAATTCCTGCTTCAAGTGCAAGCTGTGAGCGGAATTTTTCCACTACTGGAAGAATTCTTGAAGAAAGAAGAAGTAATCTTCAACCTGAAAAGGTAGATATGCTTCTCTTTCTTGGTGATAATTTGTGAATTTTTAATATCTTCCTTGAGCATAGGGTTTCGTCAATCATGCTGGTTTTTTACTTTGCAAACTGTCAAATATTTATTGCATTTATTATATTTACCTTGAGTCATGAAAGTTTTTAATCCAACATTTTTCATTATTCTTTTTTACAATATTATATAATACAATTATCTTCTTTTGTTAAAAATTTATATTATAAAATAAATTATATTAATATTGTGCAATTAGATTATATTTTCAAAATACTATTTATTATACATGCATTTTTTTAAATAGCGATTTATTTTTATTTTATAAATTAAATAGTAAATTAAATACAATATATTATTTTCTCAAAATATTTTCCATTTTTATAAATTAAATATTAGTTTTATTTTTATAAATGCAATATAAAATATAGTATATGCTCAAAATATCCATTTTTATAAATAACAGTTTTATAATTTTTATAAATTCAATATAATATTCTCAAAATATTAGCTTTTTACATGTATTTTTTAAATAATAAGCGATAATACTCGCTGAAAAATATGGTAAAATAACTCATAGGTGAATTTTTGTATATACCAGGTCGAATATAATTTTAAAAAATTCCGAGCCGGGCCTGAAATTTTTTTTTAAAAAAATATCCGGGCCGGGCCTTAATTTTTTAAATCCGGTCCGGGCCGTAAAAATTTTTTTTTTAAATATCCGGGCCGGGCCTAAAAAATTTAAAACCGGGCCGGGCCGTGCAAATGGTACCTCTGCAGGTCTCTGATAATTATAGTTTATTTGTACTGTGGAAGTAAATTTTTTACATGATATCTATTATCTATTCATTTATGATATTATAATGAATGAAGAGCAAATAGTGTTAATAATGATAGATAATGTTGATGATACTGAAAACGATTTATAAGTTTTCCAAATATATTAAGATTACTGTATATTTTGGCAAGGATACCAATTATTACATAAACAAATGAAAGGACCTTTTCTTCATTACAGAGAATAAAAACCAATATCATTAGATTAGCTTACTCATCGAGATCTAATCCCTAACACAAAACAAATTATTAAAAAATTGGCCCAACCGCAAAGAAGATTAAATTTTTATATGAACGATATATTGACTAACTTTTTAAATCATTATATAATGTTTTAATTTTATATTTTATTGTGATTTACATACCGATTTATATAACTATAATATTTAACCGTATTATATTTCTCTTAATATTTTGTATTTTCTAATATTTTATTATTTGTGTTCGAAATTATCATATTTTTAAATATGATTGTCTCTAACAAATTTTATATGATGATTAATTCTAAAAATTTTTTATGCTTAAAAAAAATTATTTTAATATAAAAAAATTATTTCCCCCCACCCCTTAGAAAATTCATGTCTACTCGCCTGTTACATCACTTAAATTCCTAGTTTAAAAACAAAATTTGCATTCAGTAAAATTTTGAAACTTATTTCTCAGCCCTGTTTTAACAGTAATTATTTCTATTCTTTTAATTAATAATTTGAGTTTAAACCAATACCATTATTAATACAAGAAATAAAAAATATTGTTTAAACCAATACCAATATTTTACCCAATACCAATATTTTAGACCCAATACCAATACAATATTTTGTTAATCTTACGTTTTTAGTATTGGTTCTCAGACCACTAATAAGGATAGGTTAAAATTTGGCCCATTATTTGATGAGTTTACAATCGATAAAAATGATCCTATTTCACATATTTTTATATAAATGATCATGATCATTGGCGTACGCAGCGGGGGGGGGAGCAAATCCCCCCCCCTCCCTAAAGCCAAAAAATGCAGATGCCGGATATATTTTTCAAAAATATTATTGTTTATATTAATTTATATTTGTTAATATTTATTCGTATCTCATATTAAATATATATTTAATTATATTTATTCGTATCTCATATTAAATATATATTTAATTATATTTATTATCACATTTATCTAATAAGTTACTTAATCAATTAATTTCGATTTCAAGTTTTCCGGCAAAATATTTATTTATTATTTTCAAATTTTTAGTGGCGTAATATTTATCTACCATTTAAATTTCTAGTCAAATAATAATTATTTCTGAAACTTCTTGTCCAACAGGGAAAAAGAAATTACAACCTTATCAAACGAGATAGAGTCTCTGCCATCAAGCAGTAACAGCTTTTAAGGAGTTAAGAAGAGCCAAATATTTGCTATTACTGAAATATCACAATAAAATATTTCCTCAGAAGCAAGAAAATTATTGGATTCAATGCTTATTCCAAATTTTATTTCTCATTAGAATGTATTATTTAATTATACAACTATTTTAAGTATTACTTTCAAAAACATGACATTGACTTGATTAAGAAGATGAGAATAGAGGAGAGCATTTTATCAGAACTCAAGGAAATTAGGGCTAATGTTGATGAAGAATTTCATATTTTATATTTTATTGTTGAGTCAAAAGCAGAGCTATACGTGTTTAATATTTGTCTCCCTCGACTTGTAGCAAGGCAAGCTCATCGTTAAAACATTAATATAGGATCAGTAGAAGAGTATATCTAAATACAGATACATTTATAACCCAAATAAATGAATTTTTAATTCATCATGCAGCACTTACTAATCTGCAAATATTACTTCCACAAAAGCCTTCCCAACCTTTTTCATAAGGTGATAGAAAAAAAATATTTGTTAGATTTTTATTATGAAGATGTTAAAGTATCTTATGATGCCTTACTAGCTGAATAACTATGTTAATAAGATTAACTATGGTTGATATAGTCCCAAAAAATGCTATGGATGCTCTGCATTATTTCAAACACATTTTAGATTAAATTCCCAGTTTATTAAAAGGGTTTATAAACTCTTCCCATTAGTAAACTAATGAGAGAACATTCTCTTTTTTAAGAAGAATAACAGAGGCCTGCCGAAGTGCCATTTGCAGGGCACGGTCCGGATTTTTTTTAATTTTTAGGCCTGGCCTGGGTTTTTTAAAAATATTTTCAGGCTCAGCCCGGCTTTTTTCATAATAAAATTTTCAGGGGCCTGGATTTTTTTAAAATAAATTATATTTATTTTTGATTTTTATAACTAATAATAACGATTTCGAATATAGGCTGTTTTAAAAAATACAGCCCGGCTTGGGTGTTTTTTTTAAAAATTCGGGCCCCGGGTATATTTAAAAAAATTAAAATACTGTCCGGCCCGGGGGCCGGGCCTGCAGGTCTCTGAAAAACGTACCAAGAAGTACAACATCTGAAAGTAGATTGAAAGGTTTGGATCTTTTGAACATAGGCGTTTGACGACAAGCAAGGATGGGATAATTAAAAAATTAGCTCAATCACAACGAAGATTGGATTTTACATTATAAATATATAACATACAAAATGCAATTATTCCTAAGAAACTTTTTGTGTAAAGGCTCAAAAAATTCAAATTTCTATTTTGGGTCATTTAAGTGATTCTTTACATATAATTTTTTTTTAATTCACATTAATTAAAAATTGTGTATTAGAAATAGTTATTAGTTAATAAATTTATGCTTGATATTTTTAAAAAACAATAATATTTCTTAAAAAATTTTATTATCCCCCCTCCCCCAGACCAAATTCCTGCGTACGCGCCTGATCATGATTGTTAAAACATTTACCATTCAAAATATATGAAATTATATATCTTGTAAGAAAATCTATTATAACCACTTTATAACTTCATTAATTATTAAAAGGATATAAATGAAGCTTGCTCAATTCTATTATACTGTATTTAAATTTACAATATTTTAAGATTAAATTTATATGCTGTTATTATTTAAATATAAATGTCTAAAAATAACTATAAAATAAAATATAATTTAGGTTATGTCACAAAATGTAATTAACACATTTTTATTAGTATTGAGATACGATATTTTAGTATTATTTTGAAACATCGTCAGATAGGAAAAGGAATACCAATGCAAGCGATGATATGTTATGTATGGCATATGAAATATTTTATTTGACTATAAAATTTCTGATACATGTCTCACAACTCACAAATATTTATACAAAATCTAATTAAAATAAATTTTTTTAAAAAATATATGTTAAAAAAAAGAATCTTGTCAACCAGGGTACTTTTCTCCTACTGGCTTAGAGATATGCATGGCATGTCCTAAAAACTATTATCAAGATAAATCTGGTCAAATTTACTGCCATGAATGTCCGGAAGATTCCTTTACTAAAGGAAATGGTTCCATTTCTATGAATAATTGTGAAAAAGGTAATTAAATATACATATAAAACGTGCTCAATTATTATCATTTTTAATCTATTATTTTCGATATAACAGTCATTTGTACGGATCTTTGCCAAAATGGTGGATTATGTAAAGTACTATATCACAAGGAAGTGTGCGTGTGCCCCTCGGGTTATACTGGAGCTTTATGTAAGACGAATATAGATGAATGCGAGACGGGACCATGTTTTAATGGTGGCACATGTCAAGATGGAAGTAACGGGTATTCTTGCACCTGTCCCAGAGGTATTATAGTCTAAAATTTTGATCATTAAGAATCACATTTTATTTTTTGCATTAGCATATAGTGGATATCGATGTGAAATACCTCCGAATATGTGCGAAAATAATTCATGCCACGCCTCATCCATGTGTCAAAATTCAGATCCCTATCATTGTCTCTGTAGAAAGGGATTTACTGGCAAATAGTAAAATAATACTTGGTGTCCACTTTTTTTCAGAGAGGGAGGAGGGCAAAAATTTAATAAATAAGTTTCATAATTTTTTTTAAAATATTTATTTTTCAATATTGCTAAGGAGAAATTCGGCTTATTTTCTCTTTTAAAATCTTTTCAATATATTAGAAATGTTAAATTAGGTGAACTACATTTCAGCCATCCTTTTTACATAATCAAAGAAATATTAATTGCTAACCAAAATATTATATAATAAAATTTTTGATGTCTAATAATGAAAAGTTGCAATGAAACTATAAATTCATGTGGTTCCGATCATCAGAACCCTTGTTTAAATGGAGCAATATGCGAAGCAGCTCCTCTAGATCGCTTCACGTGTAAATGCACTCCAGGTTGGACAGGACGGTATTGTCAAATTAATATCGGTAAAAAATATTTATTAATTAAAGCTATTGCCTCTTAATATCCTTAATAACAGATGATTGCTCGGAAGAACCATGTTTGTTAGGAGCTCCGTGCACAGATCTGCACATGGACTATGAATGTGCTTGTCCAATGGGATTTAAAGGCAAGAGATGTGAAATAAAAGAGAATTTATGCGACCCTAACCCTTGCCATAATGGAACTTGCGTAGATAGATTGCTTTACAAGGAGTGCGTATGTCTCTACGGCTATGCGGGTATATAAAAAATTATGAATTAATGTTCGTAAATAAAGTAAATGCAAAATAGGTGATAACTGCGAAATCAATATCGACGAATGTTCACCAAATCCATGCAAGAATAGCGGCTCATGTATAGATATGATCGACAACTATGAATGTATATGCCCACCTGGATTTACGGGATTTGAATGCCAACATAATATTAATGATTGTGCTCATAATCCATGTCTTAATAATGGTATTTGTCATGATGGAAATGATACATATTCATGTGAATGCGATGTAGGAACTCAAGGTAAATTTTGATTTTATTCTACATATTTAATTTTTTAAAAAATTTGTACCCTTAATTATTTTATTTTTTTTTATAAATTTATATGTTTCATCAGGTAAAACATGTGAAATAGATGTAGATGAATGTCTTAATAATCCTTGCGATCCTATAGGATCTATCGAGTGTAGGGATCTATTAGGAGATTATAAATGCAAATGTAAACCTGGATTTATTGGAACAAACTGTGAGGTAGTTAACTTTTACCACATATATAAATTTTGTAAGAACCAGTTAGCAGCGGATTATTTTTTTGGTCATATGATTTACAAGCGCAATTTTTTTTTTATTAATTTATTTTTATTTTGAAGCACTGATTTTATTAAATTATCAAGAATTGATTCCTAATTTTTAAGTGAAATAAATATTGCATTGAATAAATTAAATAAACATAATTTAATTCCTTCAAATATAAAGATTAAAATATATTTACAATTTTAAACGATAGACTAATTAAAGAAGTGGCAAATTATATAATATAAATATAAAAATAAATATTAAGCACAAAAAGCCTTTTAAAAATTAAGTTATAATATATGCAACACCCTCTGTTTTTATTAGTATTGATGTCTTGTTGCCAATTCTAATCCAAATGGCCTAAAAGAGTTTTTTTGGATATGAGGGGAAAAAAGATGTTCAATAAGGTCAATACTTATTTTTATAAAAGAGAGCATGTTATATTGCAGTTTCTATCATTTGATTGAAAATTATTGGAAAACCCCGTTTTAACCTCTTCCAAGCATCTTTATGTATATGTCACAACGCCAATTCAAGATAAGCATTTAGGTGCTACATGATTAGTATATATATTAGATATGTGCCACGTCTGGATTTGTGCTAAGGTGGGACCTTTAATTATAAATAAAATGTTTTTTTTATAGTAAATGTCATTTTTAATTTTATAGTTACTAACATCCATGCATCTTTAAAAATACATTGGGGTTCATTTTTAGATTTTCACCAAAAAAAATCTCTGCTGACTGAGTTATAACGAAATTTATTTTAAATTAGGCAAAAAAATCTCATAAATAATTTTAGATTTATTTTGAAAGTAAATTCTCCCATTTCTATCAAAAATAAATCAGATTATATAATGGACCGTTTGATATTTCATTTATTTCTAATATTTTTTCAATTTCTCTTAGAAATAATTTATAAAATACAGCCAGAAATAATTCAAAATAACAAAATTTTAAAATTTCGGGTTAATCTGGGCCATAAAATGACAAAAAAATACCCGGGGCGGGCAAAAAATTCATAGAAATACTGGACCGAGTTTGAAAATGAAAATTATTATTGAATCCGGGCTGAGCTTTGTAAAGGTATCCCTACAGATATCTCTGAAATAATAAATAATTCTCGTTAACCTCACACTAAAAATTATTCTCTTTAGATTAATGTAGATGATTGTGTCATGGATCCATGTTTGAATGGTGGAACCTGTTTGGATAAGATTGCGGACTATCAATGTAAATGCCAGTCCGGATGGAAAGGAAAAAACTGTGAAATTATTGTTGATTCTTGCGAAAATTCGGATTGCAGAAATGGCGGAAAATGTTTCAATATATTTAAGGACTATTTTTGCTCGTATGAACATCAAATTTTTATTATGTCAATTTGTATCAAAATTAATGAAATCAATTTAATCATACCGTAATATATTCCCGTTAAAACTTCTCTAATTTAGGTTTTTAATAAGATCACCTCCACAATTTAAACAAAAATTTTGGTGCACCTTCATTATTAGGCACATGTTTTTCAAATTCGGACACAAATTTATAGCCCAATCCTATTAATTTCTAATAATAATTAATATAAATGTTGGATATGACTTAATAATTTGCCACTATCTATCGAAATTTGAGGAAATTCCATTTTTTATATACCTGGGTACGGTAATAGAACTAAAAATTATATTATTAAATCTCAAACGCTATCAATTTATCTCACACTTATATAATTGTGAAAAATTTCTACTCCTAAAGAGTACCAAAATTAAATACAACAGTATAATTTAATTATTGTATACCCATATAAGTGAAAACTTGATCCGGTGAGATATTTTCGGGTACGCAAATAGCTATAAGATGTACACATCATTTTGTGGTCTTCATGTAGAATTAATGACATTTTTTGTTTTGTATTGTTTAAAAATATTCACTAATCTGGAATTACACCTGCTGCCATTGAAAAGGCAGAAGTCTTTAAAAAAAATATGCTAGTCTCACACAGACACTCTATTTTACTAATAGTTACCAACACGATAGGGATGTTCTATTGGTTAAAAAAAGTAAACTTATTACTGGTACCCGCAACAAAGGATTCTGCTTTCATAAGCAGATTTCTCTCAAAATCTGCCAGTCCAATTTCTTAAGCATTTACTCCTCTCTAGGATGATGGTTTCCTTATTTTTAAAATGTTTTTTTTATATAAATTTTAGTATATTCCTATTTATTTTTTTAAATATATTTTATTTTGATATAATTTATATTGAATTTTAGTATAATTTTTAAAAATCATTTTTTAAGTAAAATTTAATAAATCATCTTTTACAACATTAAAAACAATGTACTATGATGGAGTAATTTTTTTTCAACATAAATGTCATTTAACCAATGGTGAAGACCACACGAATGGCATTTACAGCTGACTCCTTTGCTATACACAATTTAGAATGAATCGTAATAAATGAATCTTCAGTCTAGACTAGTATATTAATATAATTAGGATATAATATATTATTTAAGGTCAGGAATTTTGAATTTTGCAGATTTATTGATTTATTTTTTATATATAACCGAAAAGGTGTGAACCAGGGTATAGTGGTAAACGATGTACAGGATCTCCTGATTTGTGTGCTGGTATTCCATGCTTAAACGGAGGAACATGCGTTGTTGAAAATGGAAATATGAAATGTTTATGCCCCACAAGTAATTAATAATTTTTTAAATTATGAGAAAAATTTTTTTTTAACATTTCAAATTCCACAATCTCGTTATTTTTCCAGGCTTTTACGGTAATGGTTGCGAAAAGTTAAAAAATCCTTGCGATGATTCACCTTGCAAAAATGGAGGTGTTTGCAAAGAAGTGGTTTTATCTTCAGATTCGCCGTTTTACGTTAGCCAAAATGAACCTTCATCTTTTAAATGTGAATGTCCATTAGGGTTCGAAGGTCAAAGATGTACTATTAATATAGATGATTGCCGAAACACAGAAGGTAACAATAATAAATGCCCTGATTTTGCTAAATGTATAGACGGGATCAATTCTTTTACCTGCCAATGCCCATTTAATACAACGGGTCCTAAGTGCGATAAAGGTATTTTTTAAATAACATTTAATTTACCTTCATAATTTTATGGGTATATTTTTGATAGTCTACAACAAGATTATGTATATTTGTGGATATCATAATATTTTTAAATGCGATATTTAGCATGAAATTTTAAATATATAGGATTACATAAATATAACCTTTGGAATTTCTATGAACTAATTTTTAGTTTCAATAAGTGTCTCTCCAGCTAAAAATTTCTACTTGCTGCTACTTAAAGAATCATAATAATAAAAATAAATTATATATTTCATTTTATATAGAAGTAGATGTGTTATGGGATTTATACATCAATGGGAAAAACAGAAAATCTGGTGCATATTTACAAAGCCCTCTCAATCTTAGAACCCACAGTATAACAATAGGGTTATGGGTAAGATATTTGGATTACAAGGACAAAGGAAACATCTTAACCTTATGGGAAATGGAGTGAGCTGCAACCCTTTATCATCAATTTTAAATAATTAAATGATAATTTATATTATATAGATCCGACAGGGCTATAAATCCCGTCAGAGAATTATTGAAGATAGATTACATTGGTGTGCATATCAATATCTTTAAAAATGACCCACACAAAGTTATATTTTTCGGTTCGTCAGATCCTAATGCTGCCAAGACTATTAACGATGGTCTGTGGCATCATTTAATGATAACTCTCTCTTCCAATGAAAATTCCTTTGATATTATATTAGACGGAGTACGAATAACGAATGTGGATGAACTAGTAGAGGAGACTTATAAAAGAAAAAACAGACGAAGAAAGAATAACAAATTTCCCGAGTATCTATCCATCACCTTGGGAGATATTGTGTGGGGAGATTTGAAGCAGACAAGTATTTATAAACCAGATCTCGATACGTTAACATCAATAGATAATACCGCAAAAGGATTTCCTTTAAACACTCAATTTAGGGGTTACGTAAGCAGGGTCAATTTGTGGGACAGAATATTGAGTTATGAGGCTGAAATACCTTTGCAAGTTTTATTCTTTAAAATAAAATATTTATTGATATATGAAAATTAGAGCGTTAATTGTGCAAAAGCTCCAATAGTTTACGATGGTTTATTAGCCAGATGGTCAGATTATCATATGGTTGGTGACACTGAAAGGATACCTTCAAGCTGCGGAAATTCTTTGTGTGAAGAAGGTCGAAATGATCCTTCGATATGTGACCCTCTTAAACTTGGTTTACTCATTTAAGCTGAATTTCTATATTTTTAATCTTAAATCTATATTATATTAAAATTAATTTCAAGATATAAAGTTATTGCTATTATATCTAAAGTAAATAATTTTATAGACAAAAACTCTCCTAGGATTGCTAATTGTCCTTCTGAAATAACTATTTCTACTGAAAAGAGGGGAATTTTAGTAAATTGGTCAACTATAGTATTGAAAGACAACAAAAAAATTGTTAACATTGAATCTTCTCATGAATCTGGTAATTATTCATATCAATAGAACATAAATTATAAATAATCTCCTCTAAATAATTAGGTTCTTATTTTGCTTTGGGAAAACATATGGTATCCATAATAGCTAAGGACTCATCTGGAAATATGGATTTATGCAATTTTAATATATTTGTCAATCAAAAAACACGGGATTGTAATACTAGGATGCAATCATTAATAGCTTCAGTTAAGAAACTGGGACTTGCAGATACGAAACAGCTAAAAATTGAATGTGGTAATTGGGGGTCTGGCTCGAATTTTGGATTCTGTAGCATAAGTTGTGAGCATGAATACAATAGTAGCTTTTCCATACCAGTTCCTAAATTCTATACATGTGGACAAGAAGGTATTTGGAGGCCTAACTTAGATGAAGATAACCCTTCTTTCCCACAATGCTCAGGTATATAGTCGTTGAATTTAGAAGATAGAAAAATAGGCTAAGTCATAAACCGGCCCAGGCTCTATTTTTTTTAAAATATTGGTTCGGGGTAGGTTGCCTAACATTTTCTTAAAAAATCTGGCGGTTTTGAATTTTGTAATATATATGTCGTAATTTTTAAAGGGATCATGACTATCCGGGATCTTCACGGGATTTAAAGGGATCCCTTTAAAATTTCAATTTTTTAAAGGATAAAGAACTATACGGTATTATCACTGGGGCAGAGATTGACCTCCAGTTGAATAAATCTTTTGATTAGCTATCGAATGATACCCTATACTAGACATATCTTATATCATAAGGCCAAAAAAAACAAAATTGAAAATTAAAAACGCAACGAAACTCGTGGAAAACGCTTTTTAAATAAGATTCCTCTTTATCACGATTAAAACGTGATAATCCCGTATTATCATTCCTTAATTATCAACCCTAATTTTTTATTAAAACGTGATAATCCCGTATTATCATTCCTTAATTATCAACCCTAATTTTTTATTTATCCCTTTAAATCCCGTGAAGATCCCGGATAGTCATGATCCCTTTAAAAATTATGACATATATAATCAATTCAATTTTGTGTAAAACAAATATGTTTTCAAGAAACATGACGCCAATATTTATTATTTATTTGTAGAATATTTTTTTTAAGTTAAAAAGATATTAAATTTTATTTATTTGAAGCAAACTAGGCACCATATATCTTTTATTTTGAGGTTAATAATACAATGTCCAATATCTCATATATATATATGTTAGAGGCAAAGTGTTATTTTTTCAACCTTAAATCATTTTTTAAGCGAGTTTTTTTAAATTTAGTAATATGATTTTATCGAACATGCCATCTAGCATGTTTGGAATACCTATCCTAAGAATTGCAGACAATTTTGCTGTTAACCTTTGAGTTATTTATAATTATTAAAAATATAGGGAAATTTTAATAAAAATTATATTAAGTTTAAAAGTTCATGGAAAAATTATTTGAAATCCATAGGGTAGTTATTCCGAACTTGACGGCATACATTTCCGGTAAAATCAAATTTTTTAAATATTTAAACACGCTCAAAAAATGATTTAAAGTGGAAAAAACACATTGACGCTAAAATATATAATTAAAAATAAAACAAAAGTTAATTGTATAAAACTTTAAAAAAAAATTAATTTCGGTATTTAAATAAATCCGTGCCGTGCAAATTATTTCCTCGAGCCAAGCTATTCGGGACAAATAAAAAATTATTTGTTCAGAATCGGGCCGGGCTGGAAAATTTTTTAAAAAATATTTGGGGCTGGGCTGGACTTAAAATTGAAAGTTTGAATGGAGATCATTATTTCTATACTCAAAGATACAAAATAATATAATTAATTTTAAAAAATTTGTTTTTTAAAATTAATAATATATTGGATTTGATTCCTTGATTGTTATTTGCTTCGAGATTATGAAAGACAATCAACATTCATAAACATTCTATATATTAAAATCTATATAGGAATGAGGCGTGCTGAAAAGACTGTTGAAATGTCAGCCTTATTCAAAACAAAGGGACCCTGTAATTCGGCTGGAAAAATAGAGTTGGAAAGACGCATAAGAAAAGAATTGGACATTTTGAATATCTACTGGGAAATGATGTGTGATGTACCTAAAAATTCTATTGATAATCAGTGCAATCAAAATATCGAAATTGAGATATTATGTCAAAACGAACATTCCAAGTTTAAAAAAAGGTCTACAGAAAATGACCATGATTTATTTTTCACTGAAAAAGACCCTACCGATTTATCAGATAAAAAAAACCTTATTGTCTTAAGTGACTTCGTTGACACTCAAAGTTCTCTAATAGATACAAATTCGAAAGTTGATATTAATCAACTGAACAAAGGAAATTATTATATAGCTGATTTTCAATTCATTTCTATCAAGTAATTTTATAATTAATGAATACACGTTATACTCGCATAATATTAGCGACCCATTGAAGAATAGATTAGAGGGTAGATTTTCCCCTTTAAAAGATGTATTGATGGACCATTTTTATTTATCGAAAGGATTTGATTTTGAGAATAGCCTACCTGGTGTTAGTGTCATGAAAGACAAAATTAAGGTTAATATCAAGCCATTATGTTTTTCTAAAGGTCAAATCTTACTAGGAGATAATTGCGGTAATTTTTTATTATTTATTAACTGTTTAATAATTTGTATAAAGTAAATTGTTCGATGGGAAGCTCTTTTGACCCAAACATTAAAAAATGTATATTATGCCCTAAGGATTCTTATCAAGATATCGAAGGAAGTGTGAATTTTTGTAAACCTTGTCCTTTAATAAATAACAAACCTAGCAAAACAGCGATAATGGGAGCAATATCTATTACAGATTGCAAAGAATCGTGCCCTCCGGGAAAATATTACGGTACCTTTTATTTAGAGTTTTTGTAAAATTTATGCATATTAAATTAAGGTGGTGATACTCAAACATGTCATGATTGTGGATACGGATTTTATCAACCAGATTGGGGGATGTTTGACTGCATTTCGTGTCCTGTCAACTCTTATATTCCAATTAAATTAGTTATGGAAGGAAGAATAAACAATAATCTAGAACCTTTGATATCACATGTTCATAAATATGATAATCAAGCTTATGCCCTAGCAACTACTACTGTTTTAACTAATTCCACATCTTTATCACAATGTCTAGAGGAATGTGAATCAGGTATGGAATACAGCATAAATGGAATTTGTCAAAAGTGTGTGAAAGGTAGATATAGAACATATGTGGTTCACGATAGATGTCTCCCTTGTCCTTCAGGATTTACAACAACATATGAAGGCTCTAGAAAAATTCAGGAGTGTATAATACGTATTTAAAATATTCCTATTATTTTAAATATAAATTTATTTAGCAATATGCACCTCTGGATCATATTTAAATGATTCAAACATTTGTAAAATATGTCCGATTGGAACATATCAGCCTTCTATCCAGATGGAGACTTGTATTAGTTGCCCCGAGGACTTTACAACACTAAAAGAGGGTTCAACTCATTTTAATGATTGTATATGTAAGCCAAATAATTATATAAACATATATTAATAATGGATAAATAGCGACAAATGAATGCGAAACAGGTGAGGCAAAATGTGTAGCTAATGCGACTTGTATAAACACTAAAGCTGGATACACTTGTATATGCTATGAAGGTTTTGTTGGTGATGGCTTTATCGGGTGTAACGATACTAATGAATGTCGTTTAGGAAATCATACATGCCATGAATTTGCTGATTGTAGCGACACATTTGATTCCTACCAATGCCAATGCAAAATAGGATATTTAGGAGATGGACACTTTTGTAAAGGTAGCACAATTAAAATCTAGATAGAAATACGAATATTGTAATATAGATTCTTGTGATAATTTTTGTCTTAACAATGGGATTTGCAAAAAAAATGAGTTCAATATACAGTATTGCGATTGTTCCGAAAGCTTTTCTGGATTAATATGCGCAGATAGTAATTTTTTATATTATTAAAAAATACCTTATATTTAATTATAGGAAATCGCACTCGAGAATTGAAATTTATAGTTGGAGGTATATCTGGTTCAGTGATATTCTTGGTGTTAATAGTGTTTATTTTATGGATGATATGCGTAAAGTACATATATATATCTTAAGTGTTTATTAATTAGAAATAATAAATATCTTTATTAACTAATTAGAAATAGTGCAAAATCCTCTAAGAAAAGACGACATAATAATTTCAAAGGTGTTTCTCATCCTGATATGTATATAAACGAAGATAATGTGTATGCAAATAATGGAAAAAAATCAAAAAAAAAATCAAAAAAAACTCAAAATATATATGAAGACAAAGGCAATCATTATCCTAAAGAGCAAATGATGATCGTACCGGTTTCCCATCCAATGCTCATGAGTTCTCTTCCCATACTCGACAACAATTATCAAGGCGATATAACTGAAGGCTTAGTGCATATGAATAATACTTTCAGGAGGAGGCCTCCCCATCTTAACCAACATCAGTTAATGGATGTTGATCATCTTAATAGCAGTATTAAACAGCCAGACATTAATGCTCTAGCTTCTAAAGACGATAATTTTTTAATCGCTCCTATTCCCCCTACTCTTAACAATAATGGGGCGATCCCAAGACTTAGTCCTTTAGAAGGTGGACCAACCCATCATCTTCCTTATTACATAACCTACCCAGCTTCAACACGTGGAATATACGATTATGGCTCTGCGCAGAATCCTAATGGTACTCTAAATCACAGGGTTGAAGATGATAATTTTTATGATATATACACCTATCAGAATCATGCTTACAATCCTGGTCCAGGTTTAAATATAAATTCAAAAAAATTAAATAGTTTATTATATACTATATGTATATATTAATTAATTTGTCAATAATGTTAATTATTTTTATAACATAAGCTAAGTTCTAAAAAATATTTGTATAATATTATATCAATTTAGATTTTTTTTAATAACGTGATTTAAAATATTTAATATAATACTATATTCGGAGCTTAGAACATCCACTGAAAAGAACTCAATTCTTAATATTTTAGAAATCAGATTTTGGTTCCAAAAAATTTAATAGGCTCTAGTTTCCGTTCTTTTATTTTTAACGGATTATAAACAAAACTTGGTTTGAATTCCCACTCTGGGATTTTTAATCTTTGATATTCCTTATTACAACGATCAACATATACACATTATATTTTCTGCCTTACATTATTTATTAGAAGACATCAAATTTGATAACATGACTTCGTTTTCCAATAAAAATATGGAAGAAGCCACCAAATACGGTAGAGTTATGCCTCCGCCTAATATCACAAGTAAGCTACGTATAATATCCAAAATTTTTCATTATAATTTTATAAATGTTTCAATTTAAAACATCTATGTATCTAATGAACGCTTTATACAGCATACAAAAAAGGTATTATATATAATATAGTATAATCCAACCTATAAATAAAATCCTTTCAAGTGTAATAGAACTTATAAACAGTGCGATAGTAATTTTCAAACGTATACCTAACCAAAATAGACATATGTTTGTGCTGGAAAAGTTAAACAAAATCCACAATCACGAATTGGGTTTCGTATCTTTTTTTATAATTTTTTTTGATACTTTTATAATATTTATTAATGTTTAAAACGCTAATTTATTCCAATAGTTTTTTGATCACAACTTAATTCATGAACATCTATTTATTCTTATAAAAACAATTATCAAGATTAATAAAGGTGATTATTAAATTTTAACATTACTTAAATTTAACAAGAGTTAGTAATTTATAAAAGTTTATTTTATATTAGATGGCCAGAAAAATTTATTATTTATTTTAATTTATGACATTATGTTCACCTTACATGATTCTAAGATATGCGTATGTATCTAGAGATATAATTGAAAAGTATCTACTCTAGCGCTGTGATCTATACCGTAACTTCACGGGAGGGGGCACAGGAGATAGAGCCCCCCTGAGATTGTAAAGGTTGGTGCACCACTAGATTTATACTTTGGAATAAATTAATATCTTAAAATCATTAATAAATACTACGAAAAGCATCTTTATAAAAAGAGATTATATCCAATTTGTAATTGTGGATTTTGTCTAACTTTACCATAAATATATATCCATTTTCTTTAGGCTTCCTCTTTTGCAAGAATATAACTTTTATATTTATAGACTAGATTATCATGTAGTGTTGTTTGTGATATATAATAATTAGCTTATAAATATTTTCTAACTGCAATCCATATATTAATTCCTATTTAACATTTTGAAGGGCATGATGTACTTTTGACCATTTTAAAATCATATTTATGCTACTAACGCGAGCTACTTCATTTGAAACGCCAATATATGAAAACTAAATATATTTGAAACAGGAGTTAATCATATATGACATTTGTTTTTAATTTACCAAAATTTACAATAAAATAGATAAGATTTAGCATTTTTAAGGCCATAAAATTATTAGAATAAGATGGTGCAATCAATTCAACTTTTCCCTTTAATTTTTAAATTTCTAAGCTTTCTGATATGGATGTGGGAGGTAATATCCATATGATACCATTTATTTTTTTTTAATATTTTTGAAATTTAAATTATATTTTACATAGATAAAAAGAAAACTCTTTACGATAACAAATTTTATTGGCACTTTTTTCCGCAAATAATAAAAGCATAATAAATTATTTTAAAATCATCATTTCATTTGCCACTATATGAATAAATACTTTTAAAAAAAGTTAAATTTTTTAATAAAAAAAATAACAAGCTATTTAAAATATTTATTTATTAAAATTAAAAAAAATAATTTTAAGTATCGAATATTTATTAAATAATATAAGTAATACAAAATTTATGTATGAAAAAACAAATTTAAAATTAAATAAAATAAAGTTGAAATATAGTGTAAAATGATAAGAATACAGAAAAAAAGTGAATCTAGCGAAGATCTGTGGAGAGAAGACTGCAATTAAAATTTCCAGTATGCTTGCAGATGTGAGATTCTAAATCTGTGATGAAGGATAATGCAAGCTTACCAAAGGAGGCTAAGGTTGTGGATATTATTGGGATAAATATGTGATCTTCTGATATTTCCTATTTGAAAATTTTATGTTATTCTTTTTGCTCAAGTAGGTTTAAAGTTTGGTTGGATAAAGCTAATGGATCTATACAAGAATCACGCCAGAAATTGACCCGTTTTCATGGAATTAGGGTGATTTCGTCAGGCTCTTTACATCAGATCTAAAAAGTCCTGGTGGTTCAAGTATAACGAGTATTTGGGCGATGCCCGCTGGATCAAGGTAATGCATTGGGTGTGTCTGAGGATTCCTCCTTTGCACGATCTGTAATGTAGCCTGTGTCTTCCTTTGCAGTCTAAGGAAATTCTGCAGCTAGAGCAGAGATGAGGAAAGGGTATTGTAGAATTTAAGCGGATCCTTATTGCGTGGATCAGCTCATTGTTAGTTAGTTGGAGTTGAAGATTTTTGGAAGGAATTATTTCCTTAAATTCATGTCATCTATTAAGTAAAGAAGTAAGAGAGAACGGTCTGTTGGGAGCATGCTAGATATAGAGATTTAACGCAGCATGCTAAAACTGACCTGTTCCAATCCTTCTGTATATTAGATTTGGGCGATATGACATCATCAACACGTGTCCTCTATAGCAGGATAACATCATCTGAGAATAAGTCACTTTGTGAGGTGTGGGTCGTGATTGTAGGTTTCGAAAGTAAACTGCTCGAAATAAAGGCAGTGAGAACAAGATCGGTGGGAGATCTAATCCCTAAATCACCATTTATGGGTAATGAAGCTTGAGCCCATGTGTTTCATTGAATTTTAGATTCAAAATAATATTTTCGGTTAGATCTTTTATTTCTTTTCATAAATACTGAGAGGTATAGGATATTTAAAAATAAGCATGAGCACAGAGCATAAAGTATACGTGGAATGTTAAAGAAGTTTTTACGGAGGAAGAATGATTTATGCGAGGGTAGCAAGTCAAGAGGTAACCAAGGTTAAAAAAAATGTCAAGAGTAGTGGAGGAAGGCACTGATTGCCGTGAATCCGCCTACTGGGGAATTTAGATGTGATAGCTCCTCTTTGAAGGTACTTGCATAAATTCGGATTTTGTGAGGTTGAGAATGAGTCCAACACCGCATTCTATTTCCTTGATAATGTGTACGGCTTTATTGGTTTATAATTGAGGTTCACTAACGATACCGTCATCTATATCCCAGATGTGGAGTGAAAGTGAGAGTTCTGAATTAATGGTTTGAATTATATTAATGGTTGCAAACAGAAAAAGGGATCCTAATGGATCACCTTATAATAAAAAAAACTTTACTTTTTTGTGTGCTGTAAAAAGGTCTTCATATTGAACTAATTAGTTAGACCTCCCCTAAGAATGCTCGTCTAAAAAAATTATACAAATCAAATTTAAAAAAAACCCTATTCTATGTACTTCTTTAATAATATAATACAAACAGATTTCATTAAATTTTTTAAACAAAACCATATTTTTGTATATTTCGTAGGGCTTTAAAAAATCATGGCAGTGACAATTTTTAAAATTTAAATCCTTTTAGAGGACGCCTTTTAATTTCTTTATTTTTGTCGAAATTGCATTCTAGCATGTGTTTAGTGCTTCTTATCCAATTAATTTTAGACAATTTCTGAGATTTTTAATCAATTTTAATTTAATGCGACATTCCTATTGATGTTTGTATAATATTTTAAAGCTAACCCATAATTCCAATGCAGAATTAAAGGTAGGGTAGGTACAGTACACATGTTGGTATATAATTCCGAAAAAAATAAATAAATTTAAAAAAACAGCCACTATAAAGGATTTATGGTATAACTAAGAAAATCGGGTCAATAAAACACCTGAATTCAATTAAAACCCTACGATTACTTTGAATAATATATTTGTTATTTTGTATAATTATTTAAATTAAAAAATCAATAGACACGAATCTTAATAATATCGATAATGATACTAACTCCCATACTAAAAAAATAAACACGAAAAATACAATCATTAACCATACCGATGCTCGCTTATAACTAACGCACATCAAACAAATTAAAGCTTTTGTCTAAACTCAAATAATATATTCCATAATAATATGATGCGTATATATTCTCTCATTTATTTCTAATCTATAAAATAGCTTATACATTTTTGTTGTGCTTTAATTTCTAATAAAAGTTAATTTGATTTTGTAAAAACTAATAACTTATTGATTACTGTAATAACTGTATCTAAAAATATTTTTGACTTTCATAATATTTTTATCAGAATTTCTAAAGTACAAATTTTAAAACTTTTAATATGAATTATTTTTAACTTTTTTATTATTTAAATAGGATTTAAATAATAGGGATCATAGAAATTGGAATGCGATCTTACTTATAATTTAAATGAAAAAATTTTGGTATTCATGATTTGTATATAATGTAATATTTGATATGTGAATTTCATGTGCGTGTATATATATAATATGAATTGTAACAGATAGCATATAATAAACAGAATATTAATGTGCTACCAACATAAAATTAGAGTTATTTAGAAATTGTTGCATATTTTATATTTAAAATACCAAGTTAAATTTATTCTGAAGTTAATTTTACATAGAGATAGGTAACTATAATAAAGTAGATTAATTATAAAACCTACTACCGTATATCCTATCACACTGAAACAATCCTTCAATCAAGTTAGCACTCCACCATCCCTTAGGAGGCATATCCAGTGCAGTGTATTAGCGTTCAATGTTTGGCAGCCATTTACCCTACATGACGATACCTCTGTAAAATTTTGAGCATAGATAGAAGTATATATATAAGGGTGATTTAGTTCCAATATTGGCAAGAAGTTTATAAAAAATAAGTGAATTTAATCACGAAAATTGTGCTTGTTTATTTTTTATAGAGATTTCTTTAGGAGGTAATTAGTTTATTTGTTGTTGTATTTTATGATAAATGCGATTTAAAAAAAACTGTTGATGGTGGATATTACCTTAGTGTTTATACTATTTTGGGTTAGTTTTATTGTTATTATGTTGAATTTACCAGCTTACAAAAACACTTAATTATCTATAAGGGGTTAATTTTTTTAGGTGATATTCTTGTTGTTTAAAAATATCTTAAGTTTTATATATTTATTACGACTAATGACTAGTTCTAATACACAAATTCAGATTAATGTGAAAATATAAAAATTAAACATATAAAACCGGCATATTAAAAAAAAATGTAAAAAACATCAATTAAGAATTGCCAAGTTGAGGAAATGAGAACAGTGGGCATATACAGTTTTTAGACATTTTCTTTTTAATAAATGACTGAAGTCCATTAAATTGCCAACTCATTGCATGCTCTATCATACTCTTATCCGCTTATCAAATCGATATTTATTATCTTTCAAAAAAATAATTTTAACATGTGTAAAACGATCCAAATTTATTCATAATTATATTTATCTATCCATTAAAAAAATATAAAGATTATAAATTAATAATTATCCAGCTTCATATTTTCTTCATCCCCACAGGTCCATTCTTTGTTCCTCCCAGCTGAAATCTTCTCCAATTAATCTAATATCTTTACTCCAAATCTCCAACAAAGGATTTTTATTCAACAATAACCCATGTGATCTCTTTTCGTTTTCTTCCCATTCACCAGGAAAGACTAATTTTCCTGTCAGAAAATAACTGACATTTTATGTATTATATTAAATTTATTTCTTCTTTTTTTCAACAGCTACAACACGCCCACCCTTCACAAGCCCAGCGTCCCTTTCTCTGTAGTGGTGTTGTATCGAATCACCCTTTGAATTGTATCGACCTTGAATTGTTTCAAATCGCCCCTTTGAATTGTATCTGGATGCCTTGAAGACGTTCAGGGAATTTGTCGAATCGTCTTCCCTTATGATGATTTATAATATAATATCGCCGATATCTTTCAATATATAATCGCGAAAACACATATTATAAATAATGACATGTACATTGGGGTATCTGCATTTATAATCTATGGAACATTAATATGGACAATGTAATATCAGCAAAACATAATAATTCATTCATTTTAAGACATTTGGGAAATATGAGCTATAATATACATTATTTGGGTATGATTCATGGTAATTAAGAGATAATGATTTTACATATAATAATGTAATGTGAACGCATGGTCTATGTGTGAAATGCAATTTCAACACATGTAATTTTCCTTCTGTCATGTGAAAAAAACAAAGCTACATTTTTATAAATATCTCCTAAAATGAATAGAAAAATCCATCTTTAGGTATTAAAAATAATTGCGAAACTTTGCCGAACAAAGATTTTAAATAAAATTACAAAACATATGTATAGAAATAAATTTAATATTTTATAGGGAGGAAAAATATATACTACGTAGAAAATACAATATTTCGCATCTAGGAATTACTCAGTATCCTAAGAAAAATATACCATTTCTACCTACCTCTGCCATCACAATGAGCACAAATTCAAAAAAATGTAGAATGCAACGTAACAAAAATTGAGAATATAATGGGCTATATGGTATGAATTTTTAATACACCTTCACTTTGAGTCTTTTCTTTTAAAAAAAATGTTCATAAAATAAATAGTAAAATGTGATGTGCTATATTATTACAAAGATAAAAAAATGTAAAATGCAGCAAAAATTTACACAAAAAAACTATCTCCAGTATGCAAACTAAACAATATTCTCACCTCAAGGCATACCCATCAACATGGCTGACCTTATCTGTAAAAATATTTTCCCTTCACATCATTGCATACCATAAAAATAATATAATAATTGCAAATAAAACTTTTTATAAAATTTTATAATTTAAAAAAATATATATAATAAATATAGAGATTTCATAATTTAAAAAAAAAAAATATTACACATCAGCTAATATATCATATAAATTCCTAGCCAATTTATATATATATCAAATGCAAACGCTAAATCAAAATAACTATCCACCTCTAACATTAGATATTATTCTGACTTCATCATACTTCAATTCCTTTAAATTATCATTCATAACTTAAATATATCATATGTGTAATTTACATTACACCCTATTTCATAAAAATGGTTAATTAATTCAAAATAAACAACATTAACTCACCCTCAATAGATCCCTTAATAACATATCAACCTTAATTTAAACTAAATTACAAATACAATATATTAACATTAATTAATAATAAATGATCCCACACATGTCCATCCCTTTAAAAACCCAAAATGCATAATTATATAATACACACTATTACAAAAGTCTATTTCCATATATATTTTCCTAAATTTCAAATATTTAAAATTTAGCAATCCTTTCTGTCCTGCTGATCTTGAGGTCTTAGCTTCCTATGACGGAACACCTATAACACCATTCAATGAGTTTTAAGGCATACCAAATAATAAGACCATATGGATGTACAATATACATTTAGACATATAATATACCAAATATTACTGTCTTAAATTCCTGATCTTATTTTCATATTCCTGCCGAATACTCATTACATACTTTCTATCTTACCCTTTGTAAGCTAAATATATAAGTATAGAAACCCTTAAACTCACCCCTTAATCTCACTTACCCCTGTATAGTTTCTAGTACTTGTGTTGTGGTTTCACAGTAAAATTCAAAATTACATAAAAAAATGGTTCTTACCTTTTTATAACAAATAACTCTTGAATCTCCAGGTTCTGTACATGCATCACTTTCTTATCCTTTACATTGCATTGTGTTCCGCATTAATCCCTAAGTAGATCCTGTCGACGGCAACAATAAAACGATCCAAATTTATTCATAATTATATTTATCTATCCATTAAAAAAATATAAAGATTATAAATAATAATTATCCAGCTTCATATATTCTTCATCCCCACAGGTCCATTCTTTGTTCCTCCCAGCTGACATCTTCTCCAATTAATCCAATATCTTCACTCCAAATCTCCAACAAAGGATTTTTATTCAACAATAACCCATGTGATCTCTTTTCGTTTTCTTCCCATTCACCAGGAAAGACTAATTTTCCTGTCAGAAAATAACTGACATTTTATGTATTATATTAAATTTATTTCTTCTTTTTTTCAACAGCTACAACAATGTGATTAATTATTACTTTGAATTTTTAAAGATGCTCTACTTAAGCTATAGCAGACCTAGTCATGTTTATAAGATGAATAAATTTAAACATCTTTAATATTATTTTTTATGTATCAATGACACACTATGCTTACTACCTGCAATATCTATAGTCCGATCTGTCACAATTGAGAAACATGGGGCAGAATTGATTTCATTAATTAAGTTTTCTAAAATGATATTATTCAAATATCAATAATTTCATTTTCAATCCTGTGGCTGGAGATATGTAGAAATCTTTTTGATACTAATAAAACTCTTCGCGAAATCCCCTAATGCCTTTTATTTTACAACGAAAATTATATTTATAATTATTAACGAAATTCAAGTTTCCTGAATTCAAATGACCACTTAATGCCAGGCCCTGCCATATACAATTTAAGCTATTAAATTTCTTTCAGCATATCTTGGGCCAAACAAGACACATATCTTGCAAGATTCCGGTTTTGATTTTTCATGAACGTTAATTACGGAGAATTCTTCCTTTAGCTTGAAAATTACAGAATTGCACAACAGAAGAAAACGTAGAATACTCTTAGAATGAAAATATAAAAACACTGATTTTAAAAATAAATCTTAAGGATTCATCTGTAAAATTGAGACCGAAAAGCATGCCAGCCCTAAAATGAATACGTCAATAAAATTAAAAGTACTTGATAATATTGAATAAATAATATCTCATTTTATTCCACTTGTATGCTATACAATAATTTTTTAACAGTGTTAATTTTTCCGAAAATTTTTTTTGGGAAAGAATGAGTTACACCCGAGAATTAAAGGAGTTTTTTCATGAGAGACTTTTGAGCTCCAATATTGATTATTTTTAAATATAAAAATTATATTTATATCATTGCACTACTTTATTGATAAAAGTAAGCCAGAATGGAAAATAATCATAAAAATTAATGAAAGTTATTGACAATTTAAACAAATAAAGGATAGATTAAAATTGCAACAGGATTCATGTGCCCAAAAAAGCATTACGTTGAAAAAGATCCATAAACACTTTAGATACATTTATTAGATATTTATATTATATAATTTCTTGAATATTTGTCTCTATATAGATATTTTAAATCTTGTTGTTTCATTAATTTTAATTTATATCTGTTTTATCTAATTTTATTGTAATTTAAACATATTTTTTGTTCATATAAAGAATAATTTTATATAGAATTGGTTTTAATCTTTTATATAAGATAGTTATCGGTAAATTAAAAACTTTATTATTTTGATAAATTACAGCATTTAAAAAGTTACTTTTGAGGGTATAAATCATATATTGTTTTATTAAAATTTTATATGTGATCCGGTATTAAAATAAATTACAACTTCATATGCATAATACAGTCATTCAATTAATAATTAGAGTTGAATATTCTAGAAAGAAACTCAAAGGCTCGCAACAACCTCTGGCTCATAAGATCCTATGTCTCCCCTACGATTAGAACATATTAGTTATTTATTTTTTAAAAAAATTACTGCTTAAATTAGAATTTTATCGCATAAAATTATTACAAACTAGTAGATAGCCCGTCAAAAATGGGTTAATGATGCTTACTACCAAGTGAATGTATGGAAATATTTTAAATACCAATCTAATTTGCTAAATACCGACCAAAATTTATTAAAATGTAATAAGAGGTTAATGATGCATGGTACCAAAGGCAGTAACGAGCAAATAGCGATTTTACAATTTTTATTTTGATGGGTACTACCAATTGTGTATTTTTATTTTTTAACGATACGAATCAAAAACGAAACTAGTATATGTCCGATACGAAACTAGCTTATAATTTTTTTAACAACAATGTAAAGCCATCTTGATTTAGGATTAAACGATAGTCAGGTAATATTAATATTTAGATAAATACATAAGATAATATAATTATATCTTATAATCTTTATATCTATAGATCATTCAATACATTTCATGCAATTATTTCTTAATAGACTATCAATCAATACAAATGTGATACTTCAAACAATATTTTCTTAAATTATACTTATGCAATATGATTATACTTATTAAATATTTAATCACTTTCAAAATATGGGACCCCCCAAAGCAATAGATGTTATTCAAAACTCTGGTAACTAAATTATCTTTTATCTTTTGAATATTTTTATTTAGGCAAGGAAAATAAAATGAACAAAAATCCTCTCAGTAAAATATATATTTATTATGGCATTATTGTATTTTTTATAGCTTCTCTCCCAAAGAATAATAGAATAGCAGTATCTGAGTTGCAACCTGTTTTTGTAAATTTAATCAATCACTTTCAAAATATGGGACCCCCAAAGCAATAGATGTTATTCAAAACTCTGGTAACTAAATTATTTTCAATATCATATTAATATTTTAATTCTTTAAGTAAATATGAAATTTATTATAACTTACTTTTTATTTATAGGTTTAAGAAATAAAACAAATTTACCAACTTATCAATTGTCAAAAATTGTAACCACAAATTCCTTCAAAAATCAAGATGAAAATTCTGAAATTCTATAAAAACATTATGCTTTTTAAAGAAATAAATATATATTTTTTTATATTACATATTTTTAAATAAATGTATAATTATAATAAATTATATGATATGATTAAGTAGAATAAATAAATTATGTGTTTATTATTATTTTTTGAGAAAATTACAAATATTAGCACATCTTTGATTTAAAATTATAATAAAGTTTAATTAAAATAATTAACCATTATGATATATAATCTTATATTTATGCCTTTTTCTACTACATAAAGGGCCTATTGGGTATTAGTTGAGGTTTCCATTCTGGAGTAAAACATTAAAATATTTGTTAATTTTAATTTCTTGCCTGTAGAAATGATTTTAATAAAATTAAAATAACATGTAAATTTTAAAATCAAGATTTTGTTCAAGTGATTACAAATTAGCATTTTTATCAAAATTGATTTGTCATATGATGTATAAATTTTAACAAATAGCCCAGTCTAAGATATCTTTATAATTTTATCTGAGCCTAAAATATTCCATTTATTATCTAAAAAAATAAGAAATATATTAAAATTAGGTTTAATAAATGGTTAAGTGTCAAATGATATTATACTTGTACCAACAATTAACCTTAATAATTGAATGAAAACAGAAGATATTAATAGAATAATATAAGGAAAATCATGGAATCTTACACAAAAAGTAATAATTGTCTTGCAGCTTAGTTAAGAAAAAAAAGTTTGGCCCTGATCTGATAGAGCTGTCTTAACTTGAAATCCAGTAAAAGTATACTGTATTGTGCAAACATATTCTAGCTGTGATTAATAAAATAATTAATGAGATAGTCATCAAGCATATTATTTTATACAAAAATAACTGTGAACCACATTAAAAGTAATCATTAGTATGTTATAAAAATTTATATAAGGCAAACTTATGTTTTGTTATATATCTATAAATTTATAAAATTAGACAAACTTAAGTTTTGATTGTTATTATATCTTTAAATTTATATAATTAGACAAACTTAAGTTTTGATTGTTATTATATCTTTAAATTTATATAATTAGACAAACTTAAGTTTTAATTTTGTTATTACATCTTTAAATTTATATAATTAGACAAACTTAAGTTTTTGTTATTACTTCTCTAAAAAATTTAGCCTCAGCAAAGGTATTTCATCTATTTATTATTTGTCTATGAATCATAAAAAATTAATAAGTATAATCTATATTGCAAAATATTTAATAAGTATAATCATATTGCAAAATATTTAATAAGTATAATCATATTGCATAAGTATAATTTAAGAAAATATTGTTTGAAGTATCACATTTGTATTGATTGATAGTCTATTAAGAAATAATTGCATGAAATGTATTGACTGATCTATAGATATAAAGATTATAAGATATAATTATATTATCTTATGTATTTATCTAAATATTAATATTACCTGACTATCGTTTAATCCTAAATCAAAATGGCTTTCCATTGTTGTTAAAAAAATTATAAAATAGTTTCATATCGGACATATACTAGTTTCGTTTTTGATTCGTATCGTTAAAAAATAAAAATACACAATTGGTAGTACCCATCAAAATAAAAATTGTAAAATGGCTATTTGCTCGTTACTGCCTTTGGTACCAAGCATCATTAACCTAATAAGACCCTTATTATTTAATATATTAATACGGAATCACGTGGTCGAGTCCGGCCTTCTATATATCATCCCCCCAAGGATGGAACCACCAAGTTAGAATAAGAAAAAACACATGAAGATTCCCGGGATTCGAACCCGGGAGCATAGGATAAGTAAGCCAAGCTCTTGCCTACTAGGCCATAGAGGCTTTCCAAAAATCAAGATTTAATATATGTTATAAATAAATATATTTGGTAGTGCCTATCCAAATGAAAAATGAACAAAATTCAAATTTGATAGATGGTACCTTAAGGTACCAAGCATCATTAACCTCAAAAATGACTGGGAATGAATTTTCTTCATTCTTTTACGAAAGATTTACCTTTTATTTAAAAACCATATTTTTATACTTAAACTATTATAAAAGTATGTCTCTTAATTTTTTTAAAAAATATCTAGGACGACACTTATCAATATAATTGTTCGAATTAATTGTGGAGTACAAGTTAGCTTTAATCTTTTCCAATTGAATATAATTAAATAGAAAGGTTCTCTAACAGACGATGTATTAAATAGTAAAAAAATATTTGAGAAGATTGTAACAAAAAAAGTAGTACTGATCGGTCTGAAATGGAGAAAGTGAACAAATAAGATGATGTTGATTAAGCTTCTTCTCTAGCTATAGGTTTACATGATAAATATATTTATTTTCTAGTTCTCAATTTTATGTTATTATAGAAAGAGCGTGAAAGGTTTTCGAATAATAGAATGAGGATGCTGAGAAACAGATTAAAGAAGAATGAATAATATATCTTTTATAAAAGTTAGTAGTAATCAAATACCTTATTCAAGATTGTAAATTATATACTATTCCATAAAGATAAATAATAAATCTTGGCATACCTGAAATCAAGAGGATGAAATGAGAGTGAAACTTAAATGTGAAAAAAAATATAGGATTATATTGAAGAATGATAGGTTGCAGGGGCGTGGCAAAATTTTTATAAAAGTAGATAATAGTGTGCTATTTATTTATAAAAATATATATATATATTTTTTTACTGTATTTATATATGATTTATAGGGGGATTTGCTCCTCCCTAATAACCACTTTTAACGGACTTTCGGCAGGTTTTTGTCTGTCTACAACAGAGTTTATGTCTATAGATGTATTTCTACTATAAATAGTTATAATATATATGTATTCGCTAATCAAAATAATATCTAACACAAGTGTAGAATCTAATTCTAACCATCATATTTAAATCTTTTAATAACCCCAATCTAAAATCTTTTATCTTTCAGATTTTTTTATTAAAATATAAGAATATTAAATCAAGTTTATCTCTTCATTTTCTAGTTTTAATGGAGATTTCCAGATATATCTGGATAGGCCAGGTTCCCCTCTGATTCGATTATTTTATTCCATCGAGGGGCATCTCTTTACCCAGTTATCCTTCGTTCGCTCCATATGCCCAATCAGTCGTTTTCTTCTCATTATCGCTCAAATTGTTTCTACCCAACATTGCTCGCAATTCCTTTAAAGTTCTTTTCTCTCACCGAGATACCCCACACATCCATCTAGCCATTCTCATATCCAATCTTTCTAATTTAAGCATCGGGAGCCACATTTAAACCCACGTTTTACTCTCATAAACTATACAACTTCTCAGACAGCTTAGGTAAGCTTTCTTTTCAACTTTAGATATTCTCTTAGGATTAATTCAAAAATTAACATAAAACTTATAGGAAAATAAGCTAATCATTTTGTATATTCAAAAATTTATGCAATATAATAGATAAAATTTTGGCTTTTAAAATTACTTTATTGTATATTTATTGTTTTAGAATAAACTTATTATATGATTTGATAATATAAAATATATACGCCATCTATAAATTTATCATTTTTTAAAAGTTTGCAGATATAAAAGCAATAATGGAACTCTGATGTTCTCTTATTATAATATTTTTGGAAGTTAGAATTAATGCTTTTTATATTTTAATTCAGGCTATATATTATATTTAAATGAAAAAAGAAAAAGAGCCCATTGATCATAAAGAATCCAAACATACAAAGAAACAAGATAAATCAGGTGAAATTAAAAAGGAAGATAAAAAACCTAAAGCTTGTTGTTCTTGCCCAGAAACAAAGGAAGCCAGAGATAGTTGTATATTAAAGAAAGGTTATTTCGAATTAAATAGTATTTAATTTATCCTTAAATGTTTAGGCGAAGAAAATTGTAAAGATCTAATAGCAGCTCATAAAGAGTGTATGAAAAAACTGGGCTTTAATATTTAAAATAATTATATAATGTCTATATATCATGATGAAATTGAGATTGAAGATTTTGAATATGATATTAATTCAGAAATGTATTTTTATCCATGTCCTTGTGGAGATAAATTTCAAATATCAAAGGAAGATTTAGAAGCTGGAGAGGATCTTGCTATATGTCCCAGTTGTTCATTAATTATTAAAGTAATATATGACTTAGATGATTTTATGATTGGCACCAAAATTCCAAATACTTTTACTCAGGAAATAAGTGTATAAACTTTTTAAATTTGATGATTTAACTCTTAATGTGATATTTTAAAATATACAATGACAGTTATGTAATAAATCTAATCATAGTGTAATACCTCTCATATTGTGATTTTAATTAATATATTATCATAGAATATATGAGTTTTCTATGTCAAAATTTTGATATTATAAATATTCTATCTCCTTTATTTACTAAATCTGATATAAAGATTGAGATTTATGTTGGACAGCCATTTGCTGGCTGCCAATATTTTTGAACTCACCAAAAACTGCTGTTTATGTAAATCACACTTGTGCATAAATAATTTTAAATTTTCCTTATACATTCATTCTTATTCTAATGATTTGTCAACATCACTGTTTTAATTGTATAATGTCATTAGAATATGTCTAAATTCAATACATCTAATGTTGAATATGCTAGATCTTGATAGCATTCATATATTTACTGATACCCATTTTCAAATTGACAATACAATATAATATCAATAATGACCAAAAAAGAAAGTTATTGGCATCAGAGTGCAGAATGTATTAATCATGCTTAAATGTATTTATGGAACCATAATCAAATTAATCATGTTGTTAAAGGAATTGGAAAGCATTATTTCACACTATAAATTGGATCTTCTAGAGGAAATATTAATTTTTATTTCAAAATTTAAAGGAGCAATTGAATATCTATCTTCACCAGGGTTGGCTAGTCGGTCAATTGACAGAAGGAGTATTTGACCATACTCTAAAATGTTATTGGTGTATTACTATAATGAACTAATATGTATTTAAAGCATATTTATCTATCTAATTTGTTTACAAATTATTTTAAAATATGGGTGATTCCACGTCAAATTGACCAAAAAAACGAGATTTTCGACCGACCATCTCAAAAATGATTGAAACTTGGCATGTTAGTTATTTATGTTGTAAATGTTAATAAAATCAAAATTTTAGAGTGCTAGGTCAACCAGATCCAAAGATATACACCTTCAAAATCGAAAATTGCTAAGTGCATGATTTCATTAAATCTTGTTATTTTAAAAAATATTTAAGATAGAGTTACAAATTATATATCATTTTATAGCCCGTAAAATTTTACTTTGGAAAATATAAAAAAAAAATTAAAAAATTTCAAGTGTTTTCTTATTACCGGTAAAAATAAAAAATTAACATTGTTATGAAGGGATTTTTTTGGGTGTTAATATTTACTAAAAATGTTTATTATCTTTATATTAAACGATTTAATAAAAAATCTTGATAGCCATTTTTGTTTTTTTAATTTTATTTGAATTTTTATAAATAAAAAAATGCAATATAGATAGCTTTATATTAAATATTTTTATAATATATAATTTTTAATAAAAATATGAATAGTATTGTGATTAAAATTAAAAAATCAATTGAGTATAACCAAGAATGATGTCCCGGGGGATACATTCTGATGGAACACTTGTTGCAGGAGATACCAAATACTTGCAAGATTTTCCAAAGTTTGGAAATCTTTGTGCGTTAGCCCTCCAAATCAAGGGGATTTATAGGAGATAAAATATTGATGTCTTTGTTAATTAATGAAATTTAAATTCGCATAGTTTTCATCCCTATAAGCTCTTTCTTATTAAAAACAATAGAAAATAAAAATACACAAGAATCTTGGGTAATTTTTTTAAATATTAGTTTATTAATATACTTTACTTCTTCTATCGTTAGAAAATGTAAAAATACGGTATCACCTCAATTTGGCACAGATCTAATTAAGCTGCAGTTTATTTTAAAATCTTTATTATTATAAAAACAAATTGATTTTTATATGGCAAGAAATGTTTTTAAAAAAAATTATTAATTTTTCCCACATAAATTTGTTTAGAAAAAAAATATTTAACTAATCATGCACATCTGCTGTACATTTTTATACTAATTTATATAAAGGCTACACACTATATGGTCTACTGGGGAAATATTTAGATGTTGGCCAAATGTATTCTCACTTTTTAATTGCACCCTGCTGCTTTTTTTAATGTCAGCAGATTTAAAATTAAAAATGTAATCAAAATTTCTAAACTCCTTTCATAAAGTTAAAGGAGGGGTGGGGGGGGGGATTCAACTAAGATGACCAGCTAAAATTCTTTGCATTAGGACCAGACTTTATGACAATAGATCTGATGCAGGACTTTAATTTATATTATACAATTATTGAGTATGCACACTTGGAGGATCAAAACTAACTATAAGAAGAAAGCATTGTTTAAAAAAAGAAATTATTTGGATCCTAATGCTATCCAAACCTTATTTTTTTAAATAACTTTGAATCTCTTAAATTATTTATATTATTAATAATATGTATAGGGGAAATATATAGTAAATTACTTTCCATTTCACAGATTTGAAATTCGCAAAGATATATTCTTCATTTTAAAATTTATAAATAAATATACCTAAAATTGTATACAAATACATAGCTTATATGCATAGAATGGATTAATGATGCTTACTACCTTAAGGTATTGCCTGTCAAATTTATATTTTGTTTATTTTTCATTTGGATCGGCACTACCAAATATATTTATAATATATATTTGAAAAATCGTGAATTTTGGAAAGCGTCCGTTGCCTAGTCGGCAAGAGCATTTCTTACCAATCCGATGGTTATGGATTCGAATCCCAGCAATGATCATATTTTTTTTCTTAATCTAATTTGGTGGT